TGTACATGCCCCTTGGCGGAAAATGGGCGATCCTTAATGAGGGAGCGCGCGCGCATGCTCATATCTACGCGGGGTGAAGGGCAGGGGGGGGTGCTAAGATAGCATGAGTTCACATTCAAAATGAACGATGGGACTGGACCGCATGCAATTTGGATTTCCCCGAAGAGAGCCGACAAAACCGAGGGCGAAGTGATAGATTGGAGTCCCTTGTTAAAAAATACACCCCACACGTTGCAATCGATGTGGCGCAGTTCACCATGCCGAACTTGAAATCGCCAGCTCCACTACCCGCGCAAACATCCTGCCCGCCCACCCGCAAGTTGGCGTGCAAAACCCATGCGGCGGCGATTGCGATGGCTGCTCGGCGTTGGCTGGCGCATCAACACGGCCGCGCAAGCGCGCAGGCTCGCGCGCAGAGAGGCCAGCCAGTCTGGCGCGACCGACGCGGCCACGGTGACGCTGCCGATGGGGGCGTCCCACCGCGTTTCGCAGGCCGCGCTGACGCGCGGGCGCTTCAGTGCGAGTCGGCGACGTGGGCGGGCGCGGTATCGTGGCGACGACGACAACGGCAGCCACGACGATGATAGTAGCGATGCTGGTGACGATGATGACGTGGACGTCGGCTAGGCGAATGACAGCGCCAGTGCTGATCACGCCGGGGACGGTGATGGTGAACTCGCGTCGGCGATGAAGGTTTCGGCAGGACTTCGACATGCACGCGCGGCCGACGCACGCGAGTGGCCCGCATGGGATGATTTGACGAGGACCGTGAAACCCCGCACGCTCGCAAGGGCGTTGGAATGATTGCGACATGCGCACGCGAGAGGCCCGCTTGGTCGCATGTGATGAACATGTTGAAAACCAGCGAGAATTCGCAAGAGCGCGCGCGCAGACCTGCTTTGAAAAACCCACGTTGCAAAACCGCGTGTTCTTTGATGTTGTCGGGGCACTTGATCCTGAAATCCTTACGAATCCTATTGTGTTTTGACAGATCCTGGCATGCGCGCGCGACGACGCGCTCGTGTAGACTTCGTTCAGTTTGTTGCAAGGGATTCTTGCACATTGATGATTTGTGTTGAACTCGCGCGCGTGCTTCCGATGTTTAGCAATGTCTGACGGGGCGAGTCGATGCCTGCCTGGCTGGGATGATACGCTTGCAACTTAAACCGAGCGATGGGGCAGAATCACTGCACATGCCTATGGGTGCCGGATAAACCGACCGTCGAGGGGGGTGGTAGATCGCAATTCCATTATAATAATAATAATAATAATACTAATAATAATAGTAATAATAATAATAATAGTAATAATAATAATAATGATAATAATAATAAAAATCCAAAAAAATGCGAGGCCGCTCCGAAGCGACTACGGGGCGGCGACGGTGGCAACATAGCCGTCAAACCGACGCACAGGCCCAGACGATAGCCGGCGACGAGGCGGCGACGGCGGCAACATAGCCGCCAGACCGACACACAGGCCTAGACGATGGCCGGCGACGAGGCGTCAACGAGACGGCGACGGCGGCAGCATATCCGTCAGACCGACACACCAGCTTAGGTCTGTAGAAAGCAAGTAAGAACGCCTAAGTGTAAGCACTGCTTGGGTAATGTAGCTAGATAACTACATACTAATGTATATATTCCTCTCTCTCTCTCATATGTATGTGTATATAAAAAATAAATATAGACGCGCGCACGACTACATATACATATATATATATAGCAAGTTGCGGACAGGCGTGCATGCACGCAGCCCTGCTGGTACATGAGCATATCCGTTCATCCATGTACACACGCGCGCATGGTGTACCTCACCTACGCAAATCAGCAGATACCGTATTATGGGTGCATCTTGGGAGCGGAAAAGCGAAGTGGCTCAATGGAACATAACCGCGCGATAGTAAATGCTCGGCGCTGGGCAGCAGAGGGCTTGCCGCCCCCCCGAGCCCCCCCTGATGCAGGCGAAATCTGCGCGTCTATCTGAAACTCCGACCGCGGCATCCCCAGCATGGTGGATGATGTAGGTCTTCGGAAATCCCGGGAGCTCTCCAGAAGTCCCCAGAGGCCTCCAGAGGACATGGGAGGCAGGCCGACACAACAATGACCCTAGCGAAGAACCCAACCAAAATGGGCGCGGGAACGCCATGCGAGCATGCCCGCTGAGGCCATAGGTGGAGCACCCTGTGGGGCACGAAACGTGTGAGAGGTGTGTCGAAATTGGCGCGGGGACGTCATGCGGGCACGCACACTGGGACCCACGGTGGAGCTCCCTCTGGGCAGCAGAACGTGTGAGTGGTGTGCCGACATGGGCATGGGCACGCCATGCGGGCAGGCCCACTGAGGCCATGAGCTGAGCTCCCTGTGAACACGAAACGTGGGACGGTGCCGAAATGGGCACAGGAACGCCATGCGAGCACGCCCACGGAGGCCATATGTGCAGCTCCCTGCGGGCCACGACACGTATGAGGAGTGTGCCGAAAAGGGGATGGGGGCGCCCACTGCGCCCATGGGTTGAGCTCCCTGTGGGGGGCACGAAACGTGTGAGGGGTGTGCCGAAATGAGCGCGGGGGCGCCATTCGAGCACGCCCACCGGGCTCCACGGTGGAGCTCCCTGCGGGGCACGAAGCGTGTGAGGAGTGCGCCAAACTGTGCTCTGGGACGCCATGCGAGCACACCCACTGAGGCCATAGGTGAAACTCCCTGTGGGGCGCGAAACGTGTGAGGGGTGTGTCGAAATGGGCGCGGGGACGGCATGCGAGCATGCCCATTGGGGCTATGATTCGGCGGAGCTCCATGTGGGGCACGGGCTGTGTGAGGGGTGCGCTGAAACGGGCGTGGGGACGCCATGCGAGCACGCCCACAGGGGCCGTAGGTGCAGCTCCCTGTGGGGCACTAAACGCGTGAGGTGTGTGTGTGTGTATGTATGTATGCATGCATGTATGTATGTATGTACGTACGTACGTATGCAAACATGCATGCATGGATGGACGGAAGGATTGATGTATGTGTGTATGTATGTATGTCTGTCTGTCTGTTTGCCTGCCTGTCTGTCTGTCTGTCTGTGTGCATGCATGCATGCATGCATGCATGTATGTATGTATGTATGTCTGTATGTGTATGTATGTATGTATGTATGTTTATATGTATGTACGTACGTACGTACGTACGTATATGTATGTATGTATGTATGTATATATGTATGTATGTATGTATGTATGTATGTATGTATGCATGTATGTATGTATGTGTGTATGTATGTATGTCGCATGTATGTACGCATGCAAGCATGCAGTCATTAACGTATGTATGCATGTATGTATGTATGCATGCATGCATGTATGTATGTATGTATGTATGTGTGTATGTAAGTGTGTATGTATGTATGGATGTACGTACGTACGTATGTATGTGTGTATGTATGCATGTATGCATGCATGCATGAATGCATGCATGCATGTATGTATGCATGCATGCATGCCTGCCTGCCTGCCTGTCTGCCCGCCCGCCTACCTGCCTGCCTGCCTGCCTGCATGCATGCATGTATGTATGTATGTATGTATGTGTATGTATGTTTGTATGTATGTATGTATGTATGTATGTATGTATGTATGTGTGTATGTATGTATGTATGTATGTATGTATGTATGTATGTATGTATGTATGTATGTATGTATGTGTATGTATGTATGTATGTATGTATGTATGTATGTATGTATGTATGTATGTATGTGCGTGTGCCGAAACTGGCCAGGGCAGGAAAAGGAAAAGGGAGGAGGAGGGAGGAGGGGGAGGAGGTGAGGAGGTGAGTGCGCGGCGGTGCGAATTGAAAACGAGGACCTAACACACGTGAGGGTTGGGAACAGGAAAGCTCCGGCACCTAGAAGGAGAGGAGGAGGAGGAGGAGGAGCAGGAGGAAGAGGAGAAGGAGGAGGAGGAGGAGGATACTGAGGAGAAAAAGGCAGCAACTTCGCTGGCGCCAACGAACGTGGCCGACGCCAGAAACCCTTCAACCAGGAAAATTTGCCCATCTCTCGGGAAATGTAAATTTGTTTCCGCCGGCTTCCGCCCGCCTTCCGCCAGCTTCCGCTGGAGGAGGCGGCCTCGTTTTACTTCCGCCGCCATCCTGGGGCATTCCGCCGCCTTCTGCCAAAATCTGTCCATTGACCCCCCTCAGGGTCGAAACAGACTGATTTTTCGAACTGCGTCCAGCTGTTTGCGACCATGGGTGCCCTTTCCCCCTGCTGGCCAGAACTATGCTCTGCAACTTGAGCTCCCGAGCCAGCTGCAACATCGCAACATCGTGAATGCTCACGACCAGGGCCCCCGACCCTGTCTTTCTGTAGCACTTTCGAGCTGGATCGATCTGCGAAGGCCCCAGGGCCCGAAACCAGGCGAAAATGCCAAGCTCGACAAAATTTGAGCGTGATTTGATTGAGACTCTGGCAAGCTTACTTGCATGGCATTCCGCCCCCCTCCGCAGTCATTTCAAACAGCGCTGGGCCGAAAAGGCGTGCAAGTGAGTCCCGACTTGCGAGAAGTCCAGATTCCCTTTCGGGCCTCGCCGCGCTCACCCCCCCTCCATGCAAGTAAACTTATCAAGCTTACAGACTGCCTCCTCTCGAACCGCATCGATCTGCAAACGTCATGGGACCCGAAACTGGGCGAAAACGACTGGCCCGGAAAAAATGAAACGCCACGATCTCAGGGCTCGCTGGCGCCAATGTCAGTGAGGGGGCCGAACGGTCGCACAATATCCCTAAGTGCGTGGGTGACATGGGATTTCGTGGCCCGGCTTGTGCTTGTTTGTTGTTTGTTATTGTTGCTGTTGTCGTCGTCCCGCGCACTCCCACGACCACCCCGCGACCCACCCCCCGACCCACCCCGCGACCCACCCGCGATCCACCCGCGACCCACCCCGCGACCCACCCCGCGCCCGCCCCCATCACTCTCATCCGCACTTCTAGGGTGCTGCGTAGACTTAGCTCCCTGCCCCCCCGCCACTGCGTCGCCGCACAGGGCGTCGGCCGCCGCCAGCAGCTCCAGCGTCCCGCACAGCCGCACGCGGTCGCCAGACGCCGCGGCGGCGGACAGGCTCTCGGCGGCGCCTTCGGCGAGGCGGGCGGGGCGTCAGTCGCTTGCGGATGAGGGTCGGGCCTCTGTCGGCGGCGAGCCTGGATGGGGAAGTGGGAAGGGGCAGGGCATCCTCTGACTCAGACTGATCGGAAGGCCTCGGACCTTCTGATCGGTTTCCTGAGCCTTCCCTGAAGACACGAGCAACTTCTCAGAAGGCTGGGGGGCTTCTGAGAGAAACCGCCCCGCCTTCCGAGAAGGCCTGCTCCTTCTCGCTTCCCCCCGGGCGCGCCTCCGATTCTTGGGGGTCAGAGTGAGCGAAGGGCAACGAATAGGAAATTGGACTGGCGAAGGACCCAAGCAGATGTATTTGTGAGTAACGCAATTGTGAATATTGTCTTCGGTGGAGCTCCCTATGGGGTAACGAAGCGCGTGAGGAATGTACCGTAATGGGCGCGGTGAGCGCATGCCAACGCAGCCACTGGGGTTTTCGGTGGAGTTCCCAATGGGGCCACGAACACGAAACGTGTGAAGGGTGCTCCGAAATGGGTACGGCGGACGTAAGCGAACACCGCCAATGGGTCTTTCGGTGGAGCCCCCGATGGGGCCACGAAACATGAGGGGGGTGCCGAGATGGGCGGCGAGGGCGCAAGCAAACGTAGCCACTGGGGCCTTCGGTGGAGCTCCCTATGGGGCCACGAAGCGTGTGAGTGGTGAGCCGAAAATGATTGGAGCGGACGCCTGCGAACGCAGCCACTGGGGCCTTCGGTGGAGCTCCGTATGGGGCAACAAACCGTGTGAGAGGTGTGCCGGAATACGCTGGGCGGGCGTATGCGAACACTGCCACCAGGGCCTTCGGTGGAGATCCCTATGATGGGGCCGCAAAAGGTGTGAGGGGTGCGCCGACATAAGCGAGGCGGGCGCATGCGAACGTAGCCACTGGGGCCTTCGGTGGAGCTCCCTATGGGGCCACGAAGCGTGCGAGTGGTGTGCCGAAATGCGCGTGGCGCCCGCCACTGCAGCCTTCGGTTGAGCTCACAATGGGGCCATACAGCGCGTGAGGGGCGTACCGAAATTTGCGCGGCTCGCGCATGCGAACGCACACACTGCGGCCTTCAGTGGAGCTCCCTATGGGGCCACAAAACGCGTGAGGGGTCTGCCAACATGGATGCAGCCCATTTATTGACTCCATTTGAGGCCCTTCTCGGGGCCCTTGTGGGCGCCTCTTGGGGTGTTTTCGGGCCGTCTTTGATGTCTCTGGCGGTAATCTGGCTATCTCTGGCCTCCTGCTCCTGCTGTGGATAAGGAGCAAGGGTCACGAGAGCCAGCGTCATTCCACTGATCCGTTGGCAATGATAACAGGCCATCGATCAGACACACGGCACACCTGAGCCAAATCGGCAATGGATTGAGAAGAAATGGGGCGCAGGACAAAATACTAAAAACACCTGCGGGGGAGTCTTTCACCATCTGCGGAGTACTGTCATCCCGTCTTGGCACCGTCAGCGCATCTTCCAACGAGAGCTGGAATGGGCGGGCGGTGAACGCGAAGCGTCTGGAATTAAAACAACGTCCATATCTCTGGAAAGACTGGAAGATACCCATACCGCTACTCCCTGGACCTCTCCTGGGGTGCGTTCGTACCAGAATTTCGAGGCGAATCCAACGGTTGCGACGAGGGCCTCCCCCCCCCGGCCTCAAAAAGGCGAAAACGACGTCAGGGTAGGGGTATGGGGACCTCGTCCTCCTCTGACGTCCCTGTCTGTGGGCGACCCGCGGCGCGGCCCCCCTTGCGATCAGCGCAGCACACGGCGAGGGCACCGCATGCGCCGACAGCCCGGCGCGCCGCGGCGTCCGCGCCGAAGCGGCCCGCGGTGCGCAGCGCCAGGCGCGGGCAGAGGCGGCCGCGCAGCGCCGCCTGTCAGCGCGTGCGCGGTGGGCCCCCCTTCTGGAGCTGCAGCCATCGCTCCGGGGGGGCGAAAAGGGTAGGATCTCGAAGGGCACGTTTACAGAATCAGCTCACGTAAGCTCGTTCTCCTGGCGGCTCCTGGCGCCGGGAGGCGCCCATGCAGCAGTTGTCATAACCCCCCATCCCCTATCCTACCCTTGCGTCCAGCCCGAATCGTCCTACTATAAGCCAGGGAGCTCGCGTCGTGCAAAGATCACGACGGACGGTGTCTGGCCGTTTCCAGCATCTGGGGGCCCTCGCGGGGCCGCGGGACCGAAAAACGGCTGCGACTAGAACGCCAGCCCTGGGCAAAGGGCTCGGAATTCTGGGGAGCGCGTATTGACAGCAGAAGGAAGGGACAAGGCACCGCAGTGTCTGGGGTGATGCGATGGAAGACGCCGAGGCAGGAACGAAGGGGCTCTGCTGGCCGCGGCGAGCCTCGGACACGAACGGCATCGCCGACCTGGACCTCGGGAGCGGCCCAGAGACCGGAGCCGCTCCCGAGCCCAAAGCGCCTGCCTCAGCGCCTTGACTGTGCGGCAGGTTCGCGCCGGGACTTTTACGCTGAACGGTGTCGGCGGGGACCACTGACGGCGATCGACCTTGAACGCCCGCGCTGGGGTCGCAGCCACGTGGGTACAACTTCGTCCCGTCGCAGCGCGGCAGAAGCGGTCAGCGCGCCAGCTCCAGTAGCCGGGGGCACACGGCGTACTAGTGTACCGGCAGCAAGAGAAGAGAAGGCGGGGAGGGGCGGCCGCGGAAAACAGGCGGGGGAGGCGGGCCCTCACCACGGAAAGAGTTCCAGGATGAGCGCGCGGGTGCGGCCAGCCTGAGCTGAGGGGACCTGGCAGTGCGCGCGGGACGGCGTCACTACCACACCCAGTGGCCGAAGCCAAGGCTGCACGCGCTGGAGGCGTGATGGGCAAGGCGAACCAGTGCGTCTGGAAGGACTAATCTACAAGAACCCCCCTCTGGTGCCCAGATGGTGCCCCCGCTGGGCATGCCGGGGCGGACGACAGGGAGTCGGCCTTCGAGGTTCTGGAACGTCTTCGCCAACTCTCGGCGGTCTTCTTGCGTCGGGATGACTTGTCCAGAAGCTGCGCCACGCCGAGAGCCGAGGTGCCCAAATCTTCCCTCACGGCCGCCAGCGGCCCGAGCTGTGACCCGAAAGCCAGGCATGCAGCGTGCGCGAACACAAGCGGAAGTGCTTCGTCGGTCTTCACCGGGCCCCAGGACCGTCAAACAGAAGACTCGGGACGCAGAGCCGGCCCCAGGGGAAGGGTCGGGACTTGCGGTGACCCCGTGCAGCGATCGTGCTACCGAAAGGGACGCGAGGTGAGGAACGCAGGGACTTTTCTAGCCACCACGAACCTCGGCCACGAATGGGTCCCCGACCTAGATCTCAGGACGGGCCCGGAAATCGTATAGCCCCTCCCGATCCCAGGGCGGTCCTTATCTCGACGTCTTGACTGCATACTGAAGCCGCCGTGCGTCGAATCTCTGGGCCCCCCCTTTGTCCCCCGAGCATCGAGGCATCCGGTCATGGAGAAGAGGGGCCCCGGCAGTCCTTCGCCGTCTTCGGGCCCCCCCGAGCCCTCCACCGTTCTTGGGGCCCCCATGGGCCCTCCATTGAGGGGAGCCATTCGGTGGGGCGGCAGCTCAGGGGGAAGCACGGACCTTGAAACGGCTATACATCGCCACCAGATCGGCGATAGAGTCATGGACCGGGAGGTGGGCCCGGGCCCCGATTGGCGATGGATGGGCGACCTGCTGCTCCTGGGATGTTGGCGATCGACACTAGTGCGCGAGTTTCATATGGCGCGGCTGATGAAGAAGGATCCATATACGTTGCACTTCCCAAGACTGTTGTGCGTCGGGGCCCATTCCTAGAGCTGTCGGCCATTGGTATGGAGAGGGCCTTCTCTATGGAGCCAGTCCAATGCCATACCATGAATCGCACATTGTCCCTCGACGAATACGACGAGGAGGCCCACTCAGGTGGGGTAGGGCTGACATGTTTGTGATGAGGGAGGCACTGTACGTGCGGTGAGGCTCAGAAGTGAGATCGACCACACTGGAGGTTGGAAGTATCACCCTAGAGTGATGTTGATCACGACGGGCACGTCTGTGCCACGCTCGTGTTTGCGATCTTATGAAAATGTTTCGCGCGATCCGATGGCAGCTTGGTGGTTGAGATATAGCAAATCGCCTTGACCTGCCTCCTCCTCATCCTCATCCTCCTCCTCCCTCATCCCTGCTGCATCTACCTTCTTCGCCTCCTCCTCCTCCTCCTCCTACCCCAGCGTTCCCTTATCCTTCACCTTATAATATTATCTGCTCTTACTCCTCGTCAATATCAACTTCTTGGACATGTCTTCCGAACCGACCCTGGCTCGCGTGGATGTCCGCCATGTCCTGCGCCCCGACGCTCAGAACGGAACAGCGACTCGCGCCAGATGAGCGACGAAAAGAAAAAGCTTAGTACAGTGACCTTACGCCGCGGCTTATACGGGCCGCCAGCTAGGCACACCGCTTGGAATAGAGACGCGGGAACCTGACGCGCGAATGTCCGTGCAATCGGCCCTGTTTTCTTCCGTCGCCCAGATGCACTTCGAGGTCGACTCGACAATTAGAACTGCGAGCTTTAAATACGAACCGAGTTGGGGACACGAGAGTTCGATCTACGGCAGGTTCGCGTCGTGACGACCCCGGCGCTGGAGATCGACCAAGGGTGGATCGTTCCACCTTGAAGGATCGACGGCGTTTCGATCGCCAGATCGTCCCATACTGGATGATTCTGGGCCACTGGCGGCGCGGCGCTCAACCCTGAACGCCCACGACGGGGTCGCGTCCGCGTCGGCAGGACACGAACCTACCGCATGCTCTCTTAATGCCCCCGCTGGGGATTGGTGGGGTGGACGAGGGGAGTCGGCGTCCGAAGTTTTCAGGCCTTCGTCGGTTCTGGGCGGTTCTCTTGTCTCGAAGTGTCCAACAGCTGCGCCACGCCGAAAGCGTTCTCGGGGGTGCCGGCTTCAAGGTCGACACGGCAATCAGAACTGCGAGCTTCAAAAACGAGTCGAGTCACACCCTGAGATCCGATGGCGCGATAAATTGAAACATCGTGAAAAGCACGATTGGAGCCCCGGACCCCATCTTTCTGAGCCATTTTCTCGCCAGATCGATCTGTGAAGGTTCCAGGGCCTGAAACCGGGCGAAACGCCCTGCTCAACAGAAATTGAGACGCCAGGACCTCAGAGTGGAGCCACAGGAATCCCACCCAGCCCTCTGGGCGTAGGTGGTTTAGGGAGTTTCCTCTTCCATCCCTCCTACTTCCCCTTCGGGGAGCCCACTACCCCCTCCCCTGGACCTGGACAGGGGGTTCCGCGAGGTGTCGGAGCGTCCAAAACGGCCTCGGCGAGGAAGCCAAAATCATTGGATTTACTGGTTTGGGCCCCATTTTGGCCTCTTGGGGGAACGCTAATTGAAGCTCCCCTCTTGTTTGATCGATCTCCTCCAAGATGGCCCCAAGAAGCGCCCAGGAGGCCCCAAGAGGTCCCAAGATGGCCCCAAGATGGCCCCAAGAGGCCCCCAAGAGGCCTCCAGGAGGCCCCCAAAAGGATCCCAAGCGGCCCCGAGAGGCCCCCCCGAGGCACCCAAGACGCCGAAGAGCCCCCCACGACCACCGAGAGACCCCCAAGACGTCCCAAGACGCCCAAGAGATACCCCAAGAGGCTCCGAGAAGCATCCAAGAGACCTCTGGCCTTCTTGCTTGCTCTCCTCCTCCTTCCTCCTCCTCCTCCTCCTCCTCCTCCTCCTCCTCCTCCTCCTCCTCCTCCTCCTATCCCTTCTCATCCGCCTCCTCCTCCCCCTCCGCCTCCTCCTCCTCATCCTCCTCATCCTCCTTCTCCCTACTCATCCATCCATCCAATGTTCTCCTTCGCCCCCCTCTCCTTCACACGCTTCGGCTGCCCCCCTCTTTGCTCCCGCACTTCCCTGACGTTTCTGGATGGGCTGGTGGGGATACCTTTTTCCCAACCCTCCTGCGTTGGGTACTCGTTTTGAATAGAGCACTGCGGTCTCCACCTTCCTTCATTCCCGCCTCCTCCTCCTCTCTTCCCTCTTCCTCTCCTCTCTTGCTTCCCTTCTCCGCCTCTCTTCGCTCCTCCTCTTCTCTCTTGCATCCCTTCTCCTCTCTCGCTCCTCCTCTCTTGCTTCCCTTCTCCTCCTCTCTTCGCTCCTCCTCTTCTCTCTTGCCTTTTACGTCATCCTTTTGGGGCTGCGATATGTGAAACTGTCGCCACTTTCGAGGGCTGCTGGTGGGTCCAGCGGAGTGAAGCACCACGCAGATTCAGATTAGACCTCGCCATCCCTGGGGGGCTGCGATCTGCGAAACTGTCACCACTTTCGAGGGCTGCTGGTGGGTCCAGCGGAGTGAGGCACCACGCAGATTCAGATTAGACCTCGCCATCCCTGGGGGGCTGCGATCTGCGAAACTGTCGCCACTTTCGAGGGCTGCTGGTGGGTCCAGCGGAGTGAGGCACCACGCAAATTCAGATTAGACCTCGACTTTCGAGGGCTGCTGGTGGGTCCAGCGGAGTGATGCACCACGCAGATTCAGATTAGACCTCGCCATCCCTGGGGGCTTGCGATCTGCGAAATTGTCGTCGCTTTCGAAGGCTGCTGGTGGGTCCAGCGGAATGAGGCACCACGCAGATTCAGATTAGACCTCGCCGTCCCTGGGGGGCTGCGATCTGCGAAACTGTCACCACTTTCGAGGGCTGCTGGTGGGTCCAGCGGAGTGAGACACCACGCAGATTCAGATTAGACCTCGCCGTCACTGGGGGGCTGCGATCTGCGACACAGACGCCACTTTCGAGGGCTGCTGGTGGGTCCAGCGGAGTGACGCACCACGCAGATTCAGATTAGACCTCGCCATCCTTGGGGGGCTGCGATCTGCGAAACTGTCGCCACATTCGAGGGCTGAGGGTGGGTCCAGCGGAGTGACGCACCACGCAGATTCAGATTAGACCTCGCCATCCCTGGGGGGCTGCGATCTGCGACGCTGACGCCACATTCGAGGGCTGCTGGTTGCGAAACTGCCGCCACATTCGAGGGCTGCTGGTGGGTCCAGCGGGGTGAGGCACCACGCAGATTCAGATTAGACCTCGCCATCCCTGGGGGGCTGCGATCTGCGAAACGGGCGGCATTCACGGGCGGCATTCACGGGATGCTGCCGCTGCACGTGGGCATGCGCATGCGCCTGCTGGAGCACCTGGACCTCGACAAGGGGCTCGTCAAGGACGCCGAGGGCGAGGTCGTGCACGTGGCCATCAACCCGAAGGATGAGGGCGTGGTGGAGAGAGCGAAGGCCGAGGGAGGTCGGGCGCACCTGCGGTACCTGCGGTACGGCGTGTGGGCGCGCATGGACAAGTACAAGGGTGGCCCCTGCGGAAAGAAGCTCAAGGAGCTCGATGACAGCATCGACGCTGCGAACGCAGCGGGCCTCGTCTTCATCGAGCCACAGAGCTCGAGCCCGTTCGACTTCCGCAAGTACAAGGTCACGCGCACTGGCTTCGTCATCTCCCACGCCGAGGTCCTGACGTCCACTGCCTGCCAGGGCCGCACCATGCACCGCGGAGTCATTGTTGACGCAGGGTGCAAGGATGCGAACGACCTGGACGCTCTGTGGCTGCACCTCTACGTGATGCTGTCCAGGGCGACGACGATAGACAACCTACTGATGGTGCGCGACCCCGGCCTTGACTTTCTTGCCCGCGGCCCACCGGCAGACCTTGCGGAGAAACTGCGGAAGTTCAGTTCCCGCACTGCAACATGCAGGAAGGAGGCAGAGAAACTGGCGCGCGAGCTAGGTCTCGATCGCTTCCTGCACTAGATATAAACAGGTATGATCCTGTGGACAGGCAGCAGGCATGCGTTGACCGAGCTCCTGCAAAAACGAAACAGTCTCTTGCTTCCTCCCTCCTCTTTCATCATCGCCGCCCTAGTCCTCCTGTTACCTTATGCATTCATGGTGCTGCTGCTGCGATGGCTCCTCGCCCCTTCCTACTGGGTTCGTCCTTCTCCTGTCCCTCGTTCCCGCCCCCGCTATTGTTTAACAAGCCTTGAGACATACTCCTCGTCTTATCGATTGCTGTTCTGTGAGTCGTGCAACATTACGCATCCCATGTAGGTCGCACTACAAATCGCCGCGCCTGCACTGTCACGGTTCCTGCTAATGTTTCCCTACTCCGCTTGCCACTTGATGCCATTGGGTTGGGTACGTCGCAGGGTAATTTTTGGTCGCGGGCGGACGCGGAAACGCAGCCGCCGAAGGAGAGGTCCGGGGCACGGGCCTGCCAAATTGGCCACGCGCGAGCCTAGAGCGAAGCGGCCGGGCCCGCACTCGGAAGCAGCCGCCGAAGGGGGCTGCAGCTTGATGGGAAGCTGGCTGAGCTGCCTGCTGAAGGCCAGGGTAGCAGATGCAACATTGGGCGCCCGAGTTATCCGGGGTAACTCGGGTCCGGGGTAACTCGGGTTTGGACTCCCGAAAAAGGAACCCGAGTTAGCCCTGACCCGAGTTACCCCTGATGATTCGGGGCTCTGGACGCCCGAGTTATCCGGGGTGACTCGGGTCCGGGGTAACTCGGGTTGGGATTCCCGAAAAACGAACCCGAGTTATCCCTGACCCGAGTTACCCCTGATGATTCGGGGCTCTGACAACATGCGGGAGAATGGCTGCAAAACGCCAGAGTGGAATTAAGTCCTGCAGCTGGTGGAGATACGCGAAGCCTCTAGAATTCGATCTGCCCTCCCTCGGTCCCTCGCCCCCTCCGTCTCCTGGCACACGTCCACCACGAGCGCTTGGTCGGGCGCTGGCTCCGGCCCAGTCTTCGGCAGCACCTCCTGCGGGCACAGAGTGCGGGCGCGCCAGATGCTCGCCCGCACCGCACCGTGTGCCTGCAACGGACGGCCTGGCCCCCGCTCTCCTCTTCATCTCCGACCGGGCGGACGGAGGGGATAGCAAAGAGGCGGTTAGCGACTCAGCTCGCGTAGCTGGTTCTCCGAACGATGTAGGCTACAAGCTCAAGTCTCCCGAAGAGTCCAGAGCACTCTGTTGGTGCATCATCCAAGCATGGGGGACCCTGATACCCTATTGCAGCGAAGTCTAGTGACACTCTCCGCTTAGCTTTGGGTGGCAAGGAGAGAGGAACAAGTCACTGGAGCATTCCCAGCGCCTTCCAGCGCCGGCGCCTTCCGGCGCCGAAGGAGCCAATGTATTGTGAAAAGCGCTCGGCGTCAGAGCCAGCACCAGCTGCACGCATCAGGCTTCGTAGCCCCCCTTTCCCTGTACCCTCCTTTCGTCCGGCCCGATCCTCTTGCTGAGCACACTCACCCTGCTCCGCGTGCGAGGCCGTGCTTGCCGTCGGCGCCGCTGATTGCGCAGTGCACAGGTGTATGCGCATGTGCGTTTGCCGGTGTGCAAGTGCGCCCGTCTGCGACCACAACTCCGTATCCGTCCTGGGGGCCCTCGGCGTGCCGAAACAATCCCATAGGGACCTGCTCGCTCTCATGAGGGGGCCTAGGAGTCACGTTGGCACGCCGGGGCTGGGGACGGAGCGAAAGGGGGGCGATGAGCATCACCACCACATGTTGCCCGAAACCCACAGCGGCCGCTGTTGCGCGGGCGACTGGTGTCTCGCAGGGACAGCGTCCGCGGCGCCACCGACAGCGGATCCTGCTCATATTGGGCAGGAACTGGTGTTGGTCTCCGTCCCCATTCTCTCCGTCACCAGTTCGAATCGTCCAGATCACGAGACGGGCCTGCAGCCAGGAGGCCCAATATCAGATCGTGCACAGAAGCCCTCAGCCATCCCACACGGACGCGATACGGTTTCAAGGCCCTCCAGGCGACTCCAGCGGGCGGGCTCCCACGGCCCAAACTGCCCGCAGACGGCCTCCTCCCTCCCCTCCCCTCCGCCGCCACTTCAAACAGCACCAAGCCGAAAATGAGTGCAAGTGAGCCCGACTTGCGAAAGTTCAGAGCTCCTTCCAGGCGTTGCCACGCCCCCCCCCCCTCTCCCATTCCAGGACATCAAGTTTGCGGTCTAAATGAATGCCCAAGCAGAGCGCTCAGTGGAGAGGCGTGTCGAGGAGCAGGCCGGCTATAGAGGATAGGGGTGAGAACACGGCCTAACGCGTTGGTGTATGGTTCACAAGGGATGGTGGCAGTACGGGCACAAAACGTGTAACTGGCATTGCGGCGAGAGCACGATTTCTGAATAAATTGCGGAAACAAACTCAAACGTCACGGCTGCCGGACTGGGCGGCCTCGGGAGGCGGTCCCGGGCTCCCCGTGCCCCCTGCAGGACTCTTCTGCCATCCTCTTCCACCGCAGTGAGAACCCTCGAGGGAAACGCCATGAGGGAAGAGCTGCCTCAAAGCGGGAGGAGGTCTCAGGCGTTGAGGACTCACGGCGCGATCACATGTCTGGGCTCCCTGCCTGCATCCTCCATTGCCTCCCTCCTCCCGAAGGACTTGCCATCGCTCGGACGTCCATTCCCCGTGCAATGTTTGGTGTAGTGCGTGTTTTGCCTTTTCTCGAGAATGCCAAAGGTACTATGGAGCGGGGCAGATCTTCTGGCGCTGGCGTCCGACAGATGCCAAACCCGAATTGAGCAGGGACCGACCGTCCTGGTATCCCGATGGGCATACCACGAACAGCGTCTTAGAGCAAACCTCTTCTGTGTTCGTAGAGCAGAAAAAAACATCTGGATCAAAACAAAACAATGTCAGACAGAACGGCTCTAAGAACCCCTCGTGCAAACCACAGGCGGCTCTTGGAACATCCTCCTGGTGGGCCCACAGCCGAGCCAGGACGCTTCGGCACTGCTTGGCCGAAAGAGCGCGCGCGTGCCGGCGGCTCTCTCCAGCACGGCATGGCCGTCGGTGCGAATGCCGCGCGCCGCGAGCTGCAGCAGCGCCCCGCACCTGATGCGGGCCGCGGCCGAGGCCGCGCGATCTCTCGCGCGGCGCACGAGGACGCGGAGGGGGCCCCCCAGGGCGCCGCGAGCTTTTCAGGCGTTCTGGTCGGTGCCATTCCCTCGCTTGTTGTGCCCTGTCTTCTGTTGAGGAGGAGGAGGAGGAGGAGGAGGAGGAGGAGGAGGAGGAGCAGGAGGAGGAGGAGTAGGAGGAGGAGGAGGAGGACGAGGAGGACGAGGAGGGTGAGGACCTCCTGGAAGGTGCTACGACAGCGGGTCACGTAGCTCGGGCTGAGAGCCAGTCGCTGCATGGCCCTGCGGAAAGCAGGCGCCAAGAAGCTGACTGGCATATACAGGGCAGGAGGCTTGGCCTCAATTCTCCATGGAGCGAGAATGCGAGGAGTGCCGACGCAGCAGCTCCAGCGTGCTAGGGCCCTGAACGGCAAGGCGCTTGCAGGAAAAGCAGGCCAGAAGTCTCGTACGATCCAGTTCGCGCTGCAGGAGGGCAAGGACTGGGAGCACGATCCTGCCTATGCTGCGCACGACCTGCCTGTTAGAGCCTGGGCAAGAGCGGTGTTCGACGGTTTCAGATCGGAGGAGGCCTTCAAGAGGGTAGCCGACAAGCAAGTGATGGCGTGAGCCGAAGTCACTGGTCCCGCCAGCGCGGTTCGGCTTTTGCTGAAACGCTTCGGCTGGGAACAAGTGTCCTGGGACGCTTGGCGTGACGATAGAGGCCAGCTGATCCAGCTGTGGAAGCTCAGCCCACGCATGGTGGCAAGTCTGGTGGAGAAGGGGGTCTACAGATTCCTTATGCGGAGGTGACAAAGCACCCTGGTTTCGAGCAGCTAGAGGGCAAGCCGCCTGACCTCGAGCCCTTCCGCTACGCGCGGACAGACCTGCGCAGTCAAGTCAAGATCGAGGAGGTTAGCCTGCTGGAGCCACACCTCGCGGGAAGGCTGGTGACGCAGACGGACCCGTTCGAGGAACGCACGGTGCTGACCCCCGACTGCCAGTGGTGCTCAAGCCGCTGGAAGGCTTCCCGACTTCCCCCGCGGTGCCGCGGAAGGAAGCCCTCGCCATCGATTGTTCACCTGTCCTGCTATCCAATCGTGGGTTCAAGAATTGGTTGCCAACGCGTGGCGATGGCGGGAAGATCGGCACCCGGCAACGACCTGGGGATGATACGAGGTTTGCTGAACCTGCGTTTCGATGAGGCACCACCACCGAGCATGATTGAGCATTGCTATCGTGCTGGAGAGGCCAGGGACAGGTTTCTTCGCTGGGGTGATTTATATCGATGGTTCCGCGATTTGCCCCGAATTTGCCAGGTGGACGAGAACAGCATGGGCAGAAGTCATGGTCGATGGCGTGGGCCAGGCCACAGGCGGGATGTACGGTTGCACGCCTGGTTGGACCCAAGAGATTGGTTATGCAGAGTTGTACGCGCTACGCCGAGTTCTCGAAGAAGTGGGACCCGAGCCAGTGGTCATCTACACAGATTGCACAGGCCATCGTGATGCCTACATACGTGGAGCGACCCTCTGCTGCAGTGCCGATCATACTTATGCGAAAATTTGGCGAACCAAATTCAGGATGGCTGGTGAGATCGGCCAACAGTCCGTCGACCTAAGATATTTCAAGGCCCACACCGGCTGGGCGGAAGCGTGTCGCCGTGGCATGGCCTCCAACGTGCTCGCGGGCAAAGCTGCGGACGACACGGCGAAGCTGGGGACGATGCTGCACCCAGGCCAGCCCAAGCTGAAGGAGCTGGAGGAGCGCTGGGAGGCGGCCGTGAGCTCGGCACGTGAGTGGTGCGTCCACCACGGCGGGATATTGAATAGGCACGCTGACGCGCCTTGGCTCGACCGAGAGCCTCTCCCTGGACCCAGCCCCCAAAGCTCCAAGGACTTGGTTCTGGTTTCCTCGGCCCAGGGGCACCGTAGTCGGAGGCACGGTCGAGCCCGGGGGTTGCGAGGTCTGCGGGGCACGTGAGGCTCTCAGGTCCAGGCTAGTTTCGCGGCCATGCCCTGGGCTCCCAAAGGTTGTTGCCCACTCCCACCAGTTCCATAGGCTTTGGGTGATTCGTGGGGCGGGGGACGGGCCTGGTGTGGGAGCCTCTGGGACCGGGGGGGCATCATAGTTTTTGTATCGCACGTGTGGGCCCCACGGGCGGATGCAGGCCCTTCTCTTGTGCGACTCGTGTGCTCCCCTGGCCCAGAAGAGCCGCACGGCGGCTAGACTTGCGCGGGTCGCCGCGGACAGACTCTGTGGAGGAAGGGAACCCCAGGTCTGGCAGATTTGGGGGTTCCCGCTCCCTGTGTCCAGGGCCTGCCAGCGAGGTTAATTTGAGTGTCCCCAGGCTGCCAGGGTTGTGTGCCAGTCATATTCCTCCCCTGGCCTTGTCTCCTGGCCTGCCTGTGGGTTGATCCCATTTTCAGGGTCCGGGTCAGACTGCGACGCGGTCCGCCCCCCTTTTAGGAACTAGAGGAGGAGGGAGGAGGAGGAGTAGGAGTAGGAGGAGGAGGAGGAGGAGGACAAGAAAAACGTTCGAGGAAGCGCAAGCATGGATCAAGGCGCTTGGGTCAACGACGGGTCCCGTCATTCTCGCCTCCAAGCTCAGCCCATCGCGAATGTCACTCAAGTCTACTAGACGCATACCCTGGCAGGAGCTGCCGGTTATCAGACAATGCGTGGATGAGCAATTCCATGAAGTGTATCCGATACTCTCTGGAGGCTCACCGTTGCCAGGAGAGCCCCTCTCTTCCTCATTCAGAGGTCCCTATGGTAGCACGCGCCCAGACTTGCGATGTCAGGATGTTTTCAATACGCCGTCCCCAGAGGTCCCGACCCATTTTCCAGGGCTGGCTTCTCATCCCGATTCGTTTTTGGAAAGTCTGGGTGGCCTTGCGAAAGCCCCCCGAAACCGAAAACGACCAAAAACTGCACATCGTGATATCTCACGACGCGAAATCGGTTCACCCGTTTTCGGCCTCTGGGGGCCCTCGCCTCGTCCTGTCCGATGCGAAACAGTGCGCCCTACGCGCTGGTCCACGGCGGGCTGTGCTGTCCAGCGAAGGGGGAAAAGCAGGGGAGACGCAGGCAGACGACGACGAACGCGCAGGCGGGAGGACGGGGCCTGCGAGGCGGGCGGGCAGGCGGAGGGGGGCCCGGCGGAGACAGCAGGCGGGGAATCGGAGGAAAAGGAGGAGGAGGCAAGGAAGAGGGGGAGCGGGAGAGTAAAACCGCAAGCAGACAGGCCGGGCCGGGGGCGGGAGAGAAGAGCCACCCGCGACGAGGCCACGGACCCCACGGCGGCGACACCGACCAGGCAGGGGCAGCGGTGGAGTGGGTGGTGGGCGTCGGGGTGGTGAGCGTCGGGGGGGCCCGCGCCGGGCCCCAGGACCGTTCGAAAACGGCTCGGGACGAGAAGCTAGCCCTGGGGAAAGGGTTGGGACTGTCGGGGACCGCGTATGGAACAAAAGAAACATCGCGCTACCACAGGGACCTCCGAATGAGGAGCGAGAACGGCTTTCCTCGCAACTGCGAGCCTCGGCCCCAGGCAGGTGCCTGACCTGGGTCTGAGGAACGGCCCGACCACCAGGTCCCCTCCTGAGCCCGACATAGGGGCCAGAAATGATTATCTTTCACTGGTCGGCCTGTAGACTTTGATTTACTGGCCCTCATGCCCACATGATCGCTGATCGCGATGAGGCCGACATCTTAGCGACGCGACGCCAATTGTGCGCATCGACCGAGCTTGCGATTTGAAGGAGCGCCCAGCACTGCGTCGCACGACAATTGGACACCATGTCCCGCCGCCTGCAGGAAACCCTTCAGGCGCCAATGGCGCTCTCTGGGCGGCCGGGGATCGCGGGGGGGTCCACGTCGGCCTGAACGCGCCGAGAAACGACCCTGGGCGTCTGGTGAAACCCAGATCCCCAATCCGTCGCCGAGACGTCTCCACGAGCTTCCACATCGACGCAAGTGGGCCCAATAGCTCCACGGGGGCCTCGGGAGAGCCAGCAGGAGAACCCGAGGAAGAGCGCGACAGGCCCCATGAGAGGCCCGATACGCCCAAGAGCGAGCCCCCCGCAGAAGCACGCAAGGAACCACTCGCATCCGCCCTGGACAGGGACGCAACCCAGACCCGCGACCGGTCAAATGAAAGATTTCGCGGTTTTGGCCCGCCCAAAACAACAAAATCTTTCATTTCACCGATCTGGCCTGGCGGAGGTTCCAGGAGCGGACGCCGCGCGCGCCCTGAGGCGGCGGGCCGATCGACGCAGGGCCGCGTCCTAGCTTGAGCGCGCGCACCGATCTGCGGCGCGGCGCGCGCACTCCCGCGCCTGAGGCCTGCGGAGATTAACGGTGCACATATTCGTTTGGTCATGAAGATTCCCGTCGACATTGCCGGGCGGCCTTGAAATGCGCGCTGATTGAACGGGATCAAGCCGCGGCTATATAGGCACATGCGGCCCCAATGTCTGTTCGGGGGCCGCTCGAGCCAACCGAATGACCGATGCATCGCGCATCGCGTCGCTTTCCATCAGTAAATGAAAATGCACCTACAGCGCGCGCGTCGTTCTCGCGGAGCCCAGCAGCATCTTGCGATGGCCACGCTCGCTTGGTTTACGCGTTCCCAGGAGGCAGCAGGCAGCGAAACGAAGAGGGCGCCGTGTAATCATTCAATTAAGCGTCTGCGATCGAAAACCCAAACAACCAGTGAAAGATAAATATTTCTGGTCCGACGAAATGGTCCTCATTTCGGTGTCTTGGCTCCACGGGGCTAAAAACGCTCAGCAGCAACATCAGCGACATGAAGACTGGCAAGCCGGTGCCGCAACCGCTACTCGGTGAAGGGCTCGGGCAGGGGACTGCCCGCTCCGAGCACGGTCTTCATGCTCTCGGACTGGAGGTGCACAGCCTTCCCTCCGAGGTGCAGCACTGCAAGATAGCAGGCGAGGCAGGTGGCTGCAGCACGCTTGAGGATGTGAATGCATGGCGCAGCAGCTCGATCTGCAGGCTGAGCAGTACTCGCAGGAGCTCGAGAGGGGACACAGGGATGTGGTCCTGAGGCTCTCGGAGAGTGGCGCAGCAACCCATCCATGTCGGTCCGTGAAGGCACAACCCACAGGAGAGGCCGCAGGATATGCTCGAGGAGTTCAAAGCCGGGCTCCTGCAGGAGGCCATTGGCAATGAGTCCAAGGGCCAGCAGAAGAAGGCCGAGTCGCAACCAGGTGTACCTAGCGAGGGGACGGCTGAGAAATAGTCCCCCGTAACCGTCATCCCAATTTCCCGACTTCGAGACAGAGCTCCAGAGCAAGGCGAACACGGAAAGTCTAAAGGAAGTCAGGCAGATTGTGCAGCAAAAGATGCAGCGGGAGACGGACCAGCTCATGGAGAGCATCACGCGCGCCCTACAGTCAACCCGTATAATAAGGACGCACGATAAGGTTGCAAGGGCATTGGAAGGCCATGTCGACACTTTGCGGGCGGGGCGCCGCCAGCAACGGCGGCCAAGGATGGGCCGAAGGGGAAGGATGCAAGGGTAACCTTGGAAAGTTGCTCATCCTTAACATTACAACTGATGAAGCAGACTGTGCAGCAGAAGCTGGTGCTGCGCGAGAAAGCCATGCAGCGGCTCCCACAAGAGCTCGCCAAGTACACGGGCATCGTCGCCTCAAGGATCTTGCGGGTCGAGTGCGCGCTCGGCTACACGGACGCGCCTGACGGCCAGCCAGACTGGGCGCCAGAGCGCGCCGCGAAGAGGCAGTAGCCTGTGTGATCGAGCGGCATGGGGGTGGAATATGCCCTAAGCAAGGGCCCATGCCAGAAGCTAGAGCAGACCTGCCTAATTCACACGCTGGTCCCTCCTCCTCCTCCTCCTCCTCCTCCTCCTCCTCCTCCTCCTCCTCTTCCTCTCCTTCTCCTCCTCTTCCTCTCCTCCTCCTCCTCCTCTTCCTCTCCTCCTCCTCCTCCTCCTCCTCCTCCTCCTCCTCCTCCTCCTCCTCCTCCTCCTCCTCCTCCTCCTCCGCCTCATCATCCACGCGGGCAGGACTCACAATCAACGAGGGCAAGACCACGGTGTGGACACGAGACCCCGCGATGCACCTTTCACCGCTGCTCGAAGGCCTGCGGAAGCCCACTCCCCGCTGCTTGGGGGCCGCCGCGCCCTGGGTGGAGCCGAAGGATCCGCTTGCGCGCATTGCTGTCCACGGACCGGCTGACGGGGTCGAAGCAGTACGGGCCGCAGCGAGACTGGTCACCCGACTACTGGCACTGCGGGACGCTGGACTCGGAGCGAGGGAGTGCTTTTCGTTTCTCCAGACCTACAACCATGGATATTAAGGCAGTGGAGGACTTTCTGGGCGACGTCCTCGACATCGACCGGCGGGCACAATGCTTCCTGCACATGACCGTCGGAGGCCTCGGGTTCGCCTCGGCCACACAGTCGGCGGCCGCTGCCTACCTGGGCAGCTGGACGCTTACCCCCCGCGGCGTGAGCACTTGCTTGGGCAAGCATTCGTGGGCCAGATTTCAGAAGCGCTGCCCCCTGGTGGCCGAGGCCATGGCGAGGGCAGAGACCCGACTGCAGGCTGGCGGGGCGATCGAGGCGATCGATTGGACCGGCTGCATGGGCGCCCCGCTCAAAGGGATGCAAGGGAAGTGGGCGGGCAACCTCCGCAGCAGAAACCGCGAGCGGCTGCTGGCCCCCCTGGGAGCAGACGACAGGGTCGAAAGCTGCTCGTCATGCGGCCCGGGCGCTGGGGGGGTTCTTGGAGCCACCCGTCGTCCGAGAAGGCGAGACACCGAGCTCCATGCCAGACGAGCACTTCCGCGTCGCTCTCGTAGACAGGATCCGGCTTCCCTTGTGCCCGCCGGGAGCCACGTGCAAGCTCCGCACGCAGGGCGGAGGTGTATGCGGAGAACAGCTCGACAAACGCGGGCGACACGCCCTCAAGTGCCCATGCGGGCCCTATCGCAACAACAAGCACAAGGTCCTCCAGTACTCCTGGGACGGCTACCACCAGCGGACCACAGGGCACGTGGCACAAACGGAGCAAAGGGTTGTTTCTTGGGACAGGGTGAACCCGCGGTCAGGGCGCCGTCAGGAGGCGCAGCTGGATGTCACCACCCGCGACGCGGTGACTGGCCAGACGGTGTTCGTGGAGAGTGTGCCTTGCGTACACAGCGGCATCGCGCCACGCCAGCAAGCACGCTCAACCAAGGACGATATTGCCGCCACTATTGCGAAAGACAGCAAGCGGGACCGCTAGCCTCCAGAGGGAGGGCAGCTTAATCCCAGTCGTCTTCGAGACGCGGAGGCGCCCCGGAGATGCCACCCTGGCGTACGTCCGCTCCTGGGGTCACGGCATGGCCCGGGCGGAGCGGACCGAGGTCATCCGCTACGGGTGGCAGCAGCTGAGCACGGGGCTGCACATCGGCAGCGCCGAGACCATCTTGGCGGCCGCGGGGCGGTAATTGCTCTACGAGGGCGCCCGCGCAGCACCGCTGGCGCCACAAGCAGCATACAGGACACGCACCACGCCCAGCAGCACAGGCGCGGCGGGTAGCAGCGAGACCACCACCTCAGCCACGGCCACCGACGGCACCGACCGCCCCCCGTACCCCCTCTCCCCCTCCCCTTCCACTCCCCCTCTTTTCGGGCCAGCCGCACTTGCCCGTTAGTTTCGCCTGGTGCTCCTCCTCCCCCTGCGCCCCAGCTGCTCTGGCAGGCCTGATAGTCGCCATAGGCGTCCGTCTGGGCTCTCCGCCTTCACCTTGCCCCAGAGGTGCGATTATCGTTCTTAGCTGTCTCCGCGTCGACAAATTAGCTCTGGCATGGGCTGCTCTTGTTCGGCAATGGCCCCCACCGTGGTTTGGCACCTCGGCCCGCCGCGGGCTGTCCCTGCCCAGGACCGGCTGGCCGTGAGTGCTTCTCGGACCGTCCTTCCCATCTTCCCCCCCCCCTCCCCGCGGGAAAACGAAGAGGAAATGGAGGAAGAGGAGGCGGAGGAGAAAGGGTAAAAGGAGGAGGAGGAGGAGAAGGAGGAGGAGGCGACCAGCCGCCAAGGCGAGAGGGAGGCAAGAGGAATCCGCACACGGGGCAGGCCCTCGCGAGGGCAGGCCCTCGCGAGCTGCACTCCTGTGCTGCCTCTCTGGCAGGGGACCGGGCAGCACTGCAATGCCTTCCACCCAACAAAAACAGCATACCCATCGGCCTGAAGAAGTAGGAAGGCGGTAAAAGTAGATTAGGCCTCGCCCGACCCGTAAAGAGAAAGGGACATGGAAAACCACTCGACGATTGAAGTAGGAAGGCGCCTGAAGTATATTGGAACCTGGTACTCTAGAAATATCTACTTTCAACGACCGATGGGTATACGTTCGGAGGTCCGCGTGGATCTCTTGGATCGACGCTAGGCTCCCCTGGCAGCGCCTCCGCCGCAGGAGGGGTGTCTAGCTCCGGTCGAAGAAGTCCGCGAGGACCTCCAGAAGTTTATGTTCGTGCATGTTCCTTTGCTTCGCTGCCAACGGGACGAACAATTTCTTACGCGCCCGCGTTCAGTCGCAGGCGAAGGCGTAATTAGTGAGAGGCGGCTTTGCCTGGGCTCTCTTGCGCGGGGCGAGGCGAGCGGGGGATGGAGGCAAACGAGGGGGGAGAGAGAGGGGAGCCCAACGAAAAGGGAGAGGGGGAAGGGGACAGGAGGAGAGGGGAGAGGAGGACATGACTGCGACACAGCACGACGACGAATAGTGAGTGAGTGAATGCTGGGTCCGCTTCGCTGGAGTCTGGCTTCGCCCCGGCCACTGGTCGGTGGGATGCACAGAGACATACTAATACTATGTGTCTGCCTTGGAGGCGCGCGTCCGACCCGAACATATAGTGCACCCATCTTGTAGCATACCGTTTCTCGAGCGGTGTGGCCAGAAAGCGCCCGCCACGACGCATATACTATAAGATTTCTCGGTTCGCGCGTCGCCCCTGGGGGGGCGACGAACACATAGTATAAGTATGTTGGGGGGACGCCGAGTCGGGGCGAAGCGGGTCGCCGACCAGCGGGGCAAAGCTGCTCGGCGACCGGCTCTGCCGGGGCCCGCTTCGCCGGCGGCCCCTTTCGCCCGCGGCCCGCTTTGTTGCCGGCGGCCCGCTTCGCCGGCGGCCCGCTTCGCTGGAGGCCCGCATCGCTGGAGGCCTGCTTCGCCGGAGGTCCGCTTCGCGGGAAGCCAACTTGGCTGGAGAACCGGCCGACCCGCGGCGTCGGAGTCGGCGTCGGCGTCGGCAGCGGCGTCGGCGTCGTCGTCGTCGAGCCGTCGGGGTCGTTGTCGTCGTCGTCGTCGTCGTCGTCGTCGTCGTCGTCGTCGGCGAGTCGTCGGGGACCCTGTCGTCGTCGTTGTCAGGATGAGGAAAAGAAGGAAATCAAACGGCAAATGAGGAAATGCAAAAGGAAACGGACCCTAACGGGCTGATCTGGCGGGCGGGTGGGCTTGCAGGCAAACGAGCGACCGGACCCTGACGGGCGGTTCGGGCGGGCTCTGACGGGCGGGACCCGAGAAGACGGGGCGGGCGAGCGGAACGTAACGGGCGGGTCGGGCGGATGGACCCCAAAGGACGGTCGTGCGGGACGTTAAAGCAAGCGGGCGGGCGGGCAGGTGGGCCGTTACGACTGGGTCACGCGGGCGGACACTAACAGGCGGGTCCGGCGGGCGGGATGCTAAAGCGGGGGGAGGGTTTGCACGAAAACGAGCGACAATACCCTAACGGGCGGGTAGGCGGGCGGGCACTAACGCGCGGGTCGGGCGGGCGGGGCCCTTCCAGGCGGGCGGGGCGGGCGGGCGCTAACGAGCGGGTCGGGCCGACGCACCAGAACGGGCGGTCGCGCGGGCGGGAGATTCTCGCGGGCAGAGGGGGCTTGCAGGCAAACGAGCGAAGGGGGCCCTGAATGGCGGGTCGGCCGGTCAGGTTTCAACGATCGGACAGGGCGGGCGGACCCTAAAGGGCGGGTCGGGCGGGCGGGACTTTATAGCGGGCGGGCGGCCTCTGTCGCGAGCAAGCGCGCGAGCACGCGCGCGAGCACACACGAGAGTCCTCCGCTACTCCTATTAGCAGGTGCCCCTCATCTACTAACGTCACCAGGACCCCTCGAATCAGCACTTGTCACAATTCTAAAATGCGTGGTGACCTGGGAGACTGCTCGAGCTGCTTCAACGACCTTCGGACATGACCCGACTCTAGATCTTCGGGAACTCGGGGACATCAGTCTCTTCAAGGTAGTTGCCTAGAGTTCCAAATTCCTTCGCCTGTGTGGAACAGCTTATGACGGAAGAGCGGGTGAACGCTGAACTCAGCATTTAAACGATCACAGATGGATTGCGTTACCGTGTGGTAGATCTCATCTTGCGGAACATGAGCGTGCAAACGGCCTTCTGCCATCGTCCAATCGTCTCCCGCGGCCTTCTCCGGAGTCTTGAACTCCTTGCAATCACACCACGTTGGATAGCGGGACGTCTTCACTGCCTGCTTCTCCGTCTGGTAACGGCACATTCTCTCGCTTCACTAACTTCTTGTGCACCGCATCGAGGGCCTTGGTCATCTTGAAGGCCTCAACCTCGACCGCAGGCTTGGTGCGGATGGCGATGAAACCCGATCCTGTGCACCGCGTCAGATGAACATTCGTCTTGGCCGTCGGACCGTCGTGGTTTGCCAGCGCTGCCATCGTCGTTGTCGCCGGTCGCTCTCCTGACGCGTTCGCGATAGAACCCTGGCCCAAAGCCAAACTCCCGAGGAAACTTCGCACCTCGCAGTCGGAGAGCTGTTTGAAACTTGACTATGGGTACGCAAATCTTGAAGAAAAAAGACAGGCGCCGACGAGTCCGATCTCACTTGGGCCGACAGTGGCCGTCTACGTTCCCTCTATCGACCAGCAGCAGCTAGCGCGGTAGGTTCGTCGGCCCGTTGGTATTCCCCCGTCGCCACAGTAGCTCGCATCGAGTCAGCAGCCTCAGCCGTGTCTTTAGTACACATATATATACATATATGTATAGAGACATGCTAGCTGTAGTGTGTTACGTATCCGTCTCAAGCTCTCCTTAAATGTATCCATCTCAAGATCTCAATATCCAATCGTTTCAGGCTCTCCATAAATGATCACCGAGTCCACTGCTGCCTGTGTATCCGTCGCCGCCCCCGCACTACCACATGAAACCATATGGCCATATAGAGATTTACAACCCGCAACATCAATAAGCCCCAGACGAGGTAGAGATTCAGAGCGAGCTTCCAAGGGAAACGCCTGGTCCAGGGCCTCCAGGAAGATACTAGCCAACCGTTCCAAATGTCCCAAGGCACCCAGTCGCACTTGTGCCTCTGCTGCCAGGGTGGACGCCGCAACTCGGCGCAAGCGATAGCTGCGCCGGCGCAGGGGGCTCCACGGGGCGAGATGGCCCCCGATCGTCGCATCGTCGGTAGCGACAAGTCTATATCCAGCTTGTGTTCCAAAGTTAGCAGATCTTTTATTAGACGCACCAGTATGAGCAACCGGTCGCAGACGGCTCAGAGGAATGCGTCGAACTCGCCATCGCATCGCACTGAACTGCTTCGCCCGTCGAACTAGAGTATTTGCATGTCGGATACGTCCAGCTGCGGGCTGAGGTAGGATCTGTTGGCCCATGGTGACCTGCACAGTAATGCCTGGGCGCGTCTCTATGGCCAGCCAGTTACCTGCGCCTGACATCGCACGCGCGTTATACATTTACATCCATATATATATATGTATATATATTTATAGATCCTGCTCTGTTGCTGGAAAGTCAAATGATAATCGGGGTCGAATTCCAGCGGGCCTCATCTGGGCGGCGAAGCCTTGCTGAGATATGAGTAAATCTGGGGATCTTGCCACAGTGATGACCCACGGAACTCACCCTGATCCAGACACCACTTGCGAAAAGGAAGGCACTGCGAATAGACTGGATCGCACATCGAAACTTGTCGCCACTGCCTCCGGGGAGGGTATCATCCACGTGCGTCGCAATGAAACCGCGCGGCCGGGTCTCTTCGTAGAGGTAGAAGATGCACGGGCCCATTCTCGACTGCAGTAGCGCATCTCGGAGCCTTTGCCACCGCAGCGCAGGATAATCGTGCGGGCCGTAGATAGGCTTCGCGACCTCCAGGATCTGACCCGGAGCCAGTCCTGGCAATCCGACGCTCGGCTGTCGGAGATAGGTCATGCCCGTCGACCTCTTGAGCTCACCTGCTTCCAGAAAAGCTCCAGTCACGTCTGCAGCACTCATCCGAAACGGGTTGGATGCCAGAAGTTGGCACGCAGCCACTTTGCCATTGCGAGAGAAAAGAGAGTGGGCGAAGAAGTCGTTCGTTCACGAATCAGCAGGAGCAAGTCAGGATCAGAAGATCCCTGGCCACACAGGCGAGCTTTCACGATCTCCTGGCCATTGTTATCCAACTCTGAAGTCACGATTCAACGACTTCCGAGCGCACGACCAGGACACGCACAACGAATATTCGCCGATTCCTCGGAGCTCAAAGGCAGGGGGGCGTGCTTGTCCGAGCGCGCGTTGTTTCACTCCTTCTGAATGCCCGCTGCCACCATAGCCTTGCCGTCCTCGCTGCACCGCTTGGGCGTCAGATGTTGATATCCTTCTTGCCGTTCGTCAAGAGTGCTTCGTCTACCTCGGCGCCCTCGCGCTGCCCCACGTGCAAAACCCCGAGTTCCTCCTCGACCTCTGACACCTCTGCAGCAATGGCGCCGTCAGAAATCTCCTCCGTCGGACGCTGCCGAAGAGCCTGCTCGCGCCCTAACAGCTCCCGGTCGGACTTCAGCTCCACGCTTGACCGCCGCTGCGGGCGTGGGAGGCAGGCTCATGAGATAGGTGATGCCTTCAGTTGCTTGGCCAGTCCTCTCAGAAGATGACGATGAGGTAGAGAGCTGAGGCCGCTCTGGTGGAGCCTCCCCAGGCTGACTGGGCACAGGGTCCACAGCCTCCTCAGACACAGGAGGCGAAACAGATGCGACAGCAGCTCATTAACCATCTGGCTCTCCAGCTTGGGTCGGCACAACCACGAGGTGTCCTCGCTGGTCGGCGGGCCGCCTTCGGCAGCGATGTCCAGGAAGCCCCGCTGGGGACCTGCGCCAGACATTATCCCCCGAGCCAACGTCTGCAGCTCAGGTCGAGCCACCTCCGCGGCCAGCTTCTCCTCCCCCGTGGCCATCCTCAGCTGCCCCGGGGACGCCTTCAGCACCGCGCCGGGCATCGCGACCCAGTAGTTCCCCCGCGCGGGTCCGATGATGACACCTGACCCTCGCCATCGAGCATGGGCTCTCTTCCCAGGACTACCTCGGCCACGTCGCCAAACTGCCGCGCAGTCTCCAGGGGCAAACTCAAGTGGGGCACGGGGTCGAGTCTCCAGAGCTGCGCGCGCAGTTCGGTCGCCTATCCTCTCGAGCACCTCCAACCTGGCTGCCTGTCGGCACCTCTCGGCGCGCTCGAGAGGCTCCTCCTTCGCGGCCATCCTGAAGCCGCGAAACCTGGGGCATCCTGCAGCAGGTTGGGCGGCGCCTCTGGGTCGTGGCCAATGGCAATTCGGCGCGGAGAACGACCGCGCTTCCTCGACAGAAAACTGCTGGCCACAACTGCCGCGTCAAGACAAGCCAACCACTTTTCTTTGGCACCTGGAGTACACTGGTCGCAGACTTTGAAGATGTCCTCGAAATCTCGGCCATGGCGCGCCGCCCGACCAATCTGCCCGTGGGCCTCACCTGCGGTATCATGCGACTCAATACCTTGACTGTACAGGTTGTCCATCAGTTTCTGGCCGCAGTTGACCTTGCTTGCATCAAACCTGAGGACCTCGCGTGCGCCGTAGCACGATGCGCGCAAAACGTTGAGAGGCTTCAACTTCATCGTTTCGGACCATCCCCACAGCTCCTTGACGTCCATCTCGAGCAGCTTCACGGGGCCACCGCTGTCGGCGCCGCTGCCGGACGCACCGGCCGCGGCTGCTTCCCGCCGTCACATACTGAGCAGTTGAACTCCCGAGCCGTCCGGGTCACCCTGTCGCTCGCGCTCGCATGTCTCAACACCCTGAGCATGTCCTCGTTGCTCGGATGACCTAGGTTTGCGCGGAGTCTCCGCAGTGCGCTCTCAAAACCAAGCCGACGTCGTGGCGCAACGCCCCCCCCCCCCCCCTCCACGCAGCCTCCGCAGTAAGTGCCAGATCATCCCCGCTGACCGCCCACTGCAAGCTGAATGAGAAAGCCTTCTGCTATGTCTACCACCAGCTGAGGTGGATATGCCTGAGATAGAACGCTGCGCTTGATCCCGCGGGAGCTCCCCACGCACGACTGATGGACACGCTTCGGATCACATCTCCTCTCTACCAGGGACCACTTCAAGACGTCACAGCTGGTCGCAAAACGCCACGTCTTCTGCAACGGACGACCTGTGGTCGGGTCGCTGAGGCCAACCTGGCTGCCCTGAACCGACACCTCGTGAACGCCTGGCTCGAGACACAACGGACGAAGACCCGGGATGTCCCACGCCTTGGCTGTCGCTGGAGCCTCGAAGAAGAAATCCCCGCTATACTTCCGGACCATCTTCGCATTCCGAAGGCAGAGATCCACGAAATCCAATGCCTCCCGCAATCTGGAGCAGCACTGATCTGGGTCTCGACGCTTGTCTGCGGGCGCGAGCCGCTGCAGAATGGAAAGCACCGCGCGCGGAGAAGGGGACATTTCCACGACCTCTAGCTTCTCCTTCTCCGCCAACGATAAGATCTGATCACGGTGTTCCTTGATCCGAGAGCCCCGGCCTTCTCGCGCATCATGCGACCCCAGATTCTGGGGGCCCGGGGACTCCCGCTTCGGACACATTCTTGGCGTCGAGAGCAACTCCAGTAATTTCGGCACCACGCTCGGGCTCATCACCATATGACCCAGGCTCCTCCTCAACCCCCTCCGATCACGACGGCGTAGGACGCCGGAAACACAAGCCTGACAACGCTCAAACGCACCTGTGAAATCGGCGCCACTCTCGTCGCTGACCTGCGGGCCCCGGCCCGGCCCCAGCGAAAACCAATGGTCGCCTCGGCCATCTGAGCCATGAAAGACTTAGAAGGAGCGGCCGCCACGCCCACTTCGGCCGCGCGTCGATGATGGCCCCTAGGCTCTCTTGAGCATGGGCTTGCTCAGCAGCAGGGCAGCTTCGCCAGGGACCACGCGCAACCTAAGATTGACCCCCCGGCCACCAGTGCGACATTGAATCTCCGCATGCGCAAATGACCCCTGGGCTTGCTGCCTTCCAAACCTGACGGTGATCGGCTGGGAATGATCTAGCTTCGCGATATTCGGCTTGCGCCATCGCCTCCTCATGCTCCTTTTGCGCCCCTTCCCCGGTGAGCCCGCGCCCACAGCCCCTGTCCACCGCGCCATGGCCCGCGTCGCGAGAGGAGATGGGCGCCCTGGCCCGATCTCCGCATTGAGGTTCAGGTCCGAGAAATACGTGCAAATCTTGTCGATGTCATCGTCGGAGTCCTCCGCCATCGTCATAGCGAGCGAGCACAGCCGTGTCCACAAGGACCTCCGTCACGAACTTTGCCTCGGCCTGCTGCGGCCTAGGTCTCCTCGGCTTCTTGCGAAACTGCTGAACTGTCCGACCTCGTCGCAAATGAAACATTTCGCGCGTCTGGCCAACGCCTTCGCATCCAGCTTCTGGGGACCGAAACCTTTCGAGAGCTGCTCTTTCGTGATTTTTGTCCTCTGCTCCTTACATGTCGCCAGCACCTGGATTACCTCGGCCTCGTCTTGTCCGCCACTCTGGGGGCTCTGGCTCGGCGGCGATCAGCGCGACAATCTCCTCATCGAAAGAATCGGTCGCCTCCTGAGCCGCGCTATCCCTCACCTCGTTCATTCCCACATGACGATCGTGCCGCCCAGGGCCATAGTCAGCAAGGCCGTTGGGAAACGTGGTGCTGAGACCCTGTGCCACTTCCACTTCCACGTACGATCGCTGGGATGCCGCCAGCACAACCGCTAAGTTATGGGGTGGCATCTGGGCGCCCATGAGGAAAAGGAAACCTTTCGCCATCGACGGAAGCGGAACACCTTCAGCTTCCCCACGAAAGAACGGCGCGCTGACGCGAAAACGGTATTGAGCCATCGTCTTGCCACGAGCAATCTTCAAGCTAAAGCTCTCAGTCAGCGCTTCGCCCAATCGATCATGCGCCGTAAGATGGGAAACAACTCTCGTCGAGCCCATTGAAGATCAGAGACTCTCTTCCGTCCACCTCCAAACCATCAACCGCAAGCGTCTCGACTGCACGCGCAGCCAAGTCATCCAGGATAGTGAACAATAGAGGACCTGCTGCTGTGGCTGGAGCACCGCGAACTCGTTGGACCACAATGTACGCCCGAACCCATGTCCGCCACACCCTATACTCCTTGTTGGCAACTGGGCCTGCTCCAGAAAAGCGACGGACAAGTCCCGAATGTGTCACTGTTGGCCGGCATGTTGTCTAGACTCTGAGGCGTCTGTCGCCTCTGGAAGACACCGTCCTCGGCGTCGTCGTCCTTCACACCCGTGAAGGTCACCAGCTCCGCGCTACCAATGCAGATCGCCCGCGGGACCCCTCTGAAAGGAAGGCGGGGTCCTTTCTCGTCTGAGACCAGCCGAAATGGTTGTCGCGAGCAAGCACTCGAGCACGAACGCGAGCACACACACGAGTCCTTTACATACTCCTATTAGCAGGTTCCCCTCACCTACTAACTTCAGTAGGACCCCTCGGATCAGCAGGACTCCACGGGCGGGCGGGGCGGGCTGACCCAAACCGACGGGTCGGGCTGACAGACCCTAATGGACAGTCGGGCGGGCGGGACAGTAAAGAGGGCGGGGAAGCGGACCCGAACGGGCGGGTCGAGCAGACGGGATATTAAAGCGGGCGGGCGGACTTGACACACCAGCGGAAAGGCCCTAACGGACGGGTCGGGCAACTGGACCCTAATGGGAGGGTCGGGCGGGCAGGCCATATCGGGCGGGTCGAGCCGACGAGCCCTGACGGGCGGTCGGGCAGGCGGGACATCAAAGCGGGCACGTGAGCTTGCAGGCGCACGAGCGAACAGGCCTTAATGGGCGGGTCGGGCCCACGGACCCAAACGAGCGGATCAGGCGGGCGGGCCCTGCAGCGGGCGGGTCGGGCCGACGGTCATCAACGAATGGGCCTGCAGACACGTGAGCGAATAGGCCCTGAGAGGCGGGTCGGAGGCGGGCCCCAGCAGGCGGGTCGGGCGGGCGGACCCAGACGGGGAGGGCGGGTGGGCGGACCCGAACGAGCGGGTCGGGCGGGCGGGACATTACAGCGGGAGGGCGGGCTTGCAGGCAAACGATCGAACAGATCCTAACAACGGGCGAGTGGGGCGGGCGGGCCCCAACCAGCAGGTTTTGCAGACGGACTCTTTTGGGCGGGGCGGGCGGGCGGGACCCTAACGGGCGGGTCGGGCCTGCGGGAAATCACTGCGAGAGGGCGGGCTTGCAAGCAAACCAGCGACTGGGCGGACCCGAACGAGCGGGTCGGGCGCGCGGGACATTACAGCGGACGGGCGGGCCTGCAATGCACACGGGCGGACATGCCCAAAAGCGGGCGGGTCGGGCGGGCCGGGCGGGCTGAATAAGTTGGGCGGGTCGAGCGGACCAGAACGGGCGGGTCGGACGGACAGACCCTGGCGGGCCGGGGCAGAGCGGGCCTCCAGCGAAGCGGGCCAAGGCGAAACTGGCAGGGGGCGAGGCGGGATGCAGCGAAGCGAGCCTCGGGCGGAGCGGGACTCGGGTGACGCGGACCCGCCTCGCGATACGGGCCTGCCGGGGGAGTGCAGGAGCGGGGGGCACGAGGGGGGCGCAGGAGTGGAGGGGATGGGCCAACGAAGACGGCAACGGCGACGACGGCGGTGACGACGACGAAACAGCAACGACAACTTTGCTGAGTGCTTGCGGGGAATGGGGCAGAGACGAGAGGAGGAAGGAAGGGGGAGAGGCGAGGAGGGGTGAGAGGGGGTTCGAGGGGAGGACGCTAGGAGGAGACCGGGGGGATGGGGAGGGTAAGACACGACGACGACAACGGAGCGCGCGTGCCCAAGGTTCCTGGACCGATGGCATGGATGAGTCGCAAGTTCGCCAGTGGCCTGTCGACAGGAAGGGAGCAAGAGGGAGGAGAGAGTAGGAGAGGCCCCAGACTAAGTGGAGACGCCCAGATGCTCGCAATTTGGGACTCTGGAGGTCCGTGTCCAGTTCCAAGGCAATCAGAGAAACGATTCGGGAATGAAGGCCCCAGGGAAGGGGTGGGGTCGAGAGGTATGGGGGCCACGTCCCCCAACAAGGAGCCGCCGAATATCTGCGGCTGGACGATGGGGGTGAGGCCAGGAAGGAATAACGCGAATCTGCGGTGCGGGGAGGGATCAGCAGGGAGGCGCGAGGGGGACAGCCGAGGGGAGAGAAGGGGCAAATGGATTGCGAGCCCTAGGCACCAGCACTGAAGACAAAACTCTATCCCTAAAGCTTCGGCTTCGGACCACACTCAATCTGTAAAAGTGGGGGTCTTGAGCGCGAGGCAGGGAATTCGGGCTGGCCATGGCAAAGCAAGGCCAAAATAATACAGACGGGTCCGACGCTGGGCGGACCCGCAAGCAAATTCGAGGGCTGCTGAAGGTGTTCCTGGTACAAGGTGTCCCCAACTTTCCGTGTCAGGTTTGGGTCCCTGCGGCTCTCCGGGTGTCGTGGAAAGTGCTCTGGAGACCGCGGGGGTCTTCCTGAAAATCCTGGAAACACCTTGGGCGTTAAAACTTGTCGGCAGAGATTGCCTGAGCGAAAGACGCCCACTGGATCAGCGTGTTGCTTGGCACGGCGAAGTGCGATGAAATGATCCAGCTGAGCGAACGGTTCCAGGTGTTCGAACATGTTGGCTTCCCTTTCAGTAGAGTGGATGTGAGTATAATGCTACATGGGTCCCACAAGGGTAGATGCTTATGGGGGCCTCTCAGAAGCAAATGTGTCTGTCCAGACTATATTGGCGGGATGTTTGCGCGCTTGAGCCACGATGCTGGGCCATGCTAGTCATTGTGCGTGAAACTGTTAGACGGTTCCCCAGCATACAGGTATGCGCCCTCATGGACGACGTATGTTTGCAGTGGGAAGGGGGGCAGTCAGTAGATCTGATGTTATTGTTTCGGCTCTCAGGTTCCTCTGCAAGAATGAGGGGCCCGCAGGGCTTATACTGCAGCCGAACAAGTCCGGATATCTCGCTCATTTGATCGCGTCGGGGAAGCTGGTGAATTTCACTGGCAACATCCGATACGAGTTTGGCAGCTGTGGACTGGCCAGATGATGACGGGCGTTCGCATCTGCCTCCCGTGCCACTTCCAGGTGATGTCAGTAATACATGCCCCCGTAGTTTCGCGCTTATTCTATATAACTGCACGTTTGTGGCACTGCGTGGTGCCAACAACTCGGTTGACATACAACCCAAGCCTGGTTCCGCAATCAGCTAACTGTGATAACCGATCGCTTCAAGGAAGCTTCAGCTGAAGCATCAAGATTCACCCGTACTTCTTGCGTTGCACACTATGGGGCGCAGGCGCTGAACGTGTGTGACACGCCCGACCTGCAGCCAGCATTGCGCAACACGTGTCGCACTCAATTTGGGGTCTCACGTGTGCATCACATGCTGGCGTGGCGAATGTTTCAAGTGCTGTGATAATGGCGCACAGCCCGAGCGACGACATGGCGATGACGACAGCAACGACGACGACGACGACGACGACGACGAAACCGCCGACGCCGACGACGACGCCAGAAATTAAGTCTCGACCCCTTCCCCGGGAATCGTTTTTCATCTGGGGCCCATTTTCCAGGGGCCCCCGTGGCCCGAGGGACGGCCCGCGGAAGCCCCAAAGCTGCAAGGACGCCTCGAACCTCGAATCTCGATCGATCGATCGATCGACGACGGCGACGACGACGACGACGAGGCGCCGACCCAGGCCGAAGCAGGCTGGGCCCTGGCAGACCAAGCGCGGCCCCATCCCCCCGACAGCTGTCGGGCGTTGCCGGTGGCGCTGCCTGAGGCCCACGGGGCACCCAGGATCTGTAAGACGGCCTCGAACAAAGAACAGCACAAGCATAGGCTTTCGCAGGCCCGCGCGGATCTCTTCAACGGCGCTAGTCCTGGCGACGCCCTGACGCCTGCCCTGGCGCGCTGCATGCACAAGGGAGCGGGGTCCACCACCGATCCAAGAAATCCGCGCGGACCTCGGAAAGCTTATTCCTGCGCAGATCAAAATGAAAGGGCCGAACGGTCATTCATTTTGCCTGGGCGCGTGGCTGAAGTGAGGTTTCGGGGTGCGGATAGTTGTTGCGTTGTTGCTGCGTTGTTGGATGTCATTTCTAAAGAGAATTGCTGATGATCCCCTGGTTTCCACTTGTGTGTCTTCCCCAAATACAAATGGGATTCTTGTTGCATCTGCACATACACCCTGGGCAGGATCTCCTCCTCCTCCTCCTCGTCCTGCCCCCCTCTTCCTCACTCGCATGCACGCACTCACGCACTCACGCAACCATCATCATCATCATCATCATCATCATCATCATCATCATCATCATCATCATCATCAGCATCATCATCTGCATCATCATCATCATCATCATCAGCAGCATCATCATCACCACCACCATCATCAGCAGCATAAGCATCAGCATCACTCATTCACACACTCACTCACTCACTCACTCACCCACTCACTCACTCACTCGCTGACTCATCATTCATGTTTACTCTTTGCCATCATCATCATCATCATCATCATCATCATCATCATCATAATCATCATCATCATCATCATCATCATCATCATCATCATCCTTATCATCATCTTCACGATCACAATATCGCCACAATAATCACTCCATCGTAATGTTCATCACTTCATTCATATCATCATCGTCACCGTACACAGACACAGTCACCCACTCATCTCATGGAAGTCTCGAGCGGGAGCCTCGTCCTGGAGTGATCGCAAGGAAGTCTCAAGCGGGATCCCCCTCCTTATGAGGCCCGCGCTTCATGTTGGCAATCCGAACGGGCCATCCCATTCCTGTAGCTGACATCACATTCGGGCCCTTCAGAATTGAGTATGGAGGAAGTCTCGAGCGGGAGACTCGTCTGTGAGTGAACTGAGAGGAAGTCTCAAGGGGGAGCCCCCTCCTAATGGAGCCCGCGCTTCGTGTTGGTAATCCGAGCGGGTCGTCCCATTCCTGTAACTGTCTTCACTTTTGGGCTTCTCAGGCCTGATTATGGAAGATGTCTCGAGCTGAAGCCTCCTTTGTGAGTGAATCGCGAGGATGTCTCCAGCGGGAGCCCCCTCCTTGTGGGGCGGGCACTTCATTTGGTAATCCGAGCGGGTCATCCCATTCCTCTAACTTTCGGGGCTCCTCAGGCCTGAGTATGAAGTCTCGAGCGGGAGCCGCGTCTGTGAGTGAATCGCGAGGAAGTCTCAAGCGGGAGCCCCCTCCTGATGGGGCCCGCATTTTTTGTTGGTAATCCGAGCGGGCCATCTCATTCCTGTATCCGTTGTCACGTTTGGGCTCCTCAGGCCTGAATATAGCAGATGTTCCGAGCGGGAGCCTCGTCTGTGAGTGGCTCGCGAGGAAGTCTCAAGTGAGAGCCCCCTGCTGACGGTCACGGCGAAGCGCCAGAATGGTGATGCGAGCACTCGCGGGCCATTCCGAGCGCTGACTGGAGGGCCACGGCGAGTCGCCTGGAGGGTGATGCGAGCCCTCGCGGGTCAATCAGCAAGTAGAGGAGGAGGAATAGGAGGAACAGGACGTCAGGAGGACGACGGCGGCCGGGCACAAGGGGGAAACCCTTGTGTCCAAGGCGCGGGTGGTAACCCATCCGCGTCCCCAGCCGGGCGCAGGGAGAGACCCTTGCGTCCGGGACGCCGGATGTAAGCGATCGTCGGCCGAATCGAGGGCAAGGGAAAGCCTTGTCTTCTGAGCGCGGGTTGGTAACCCATCCGCGTCCGAATCGGGCGCAGGAGGCGACCTTTGTGTCTTGGCCGCTGGTGGTAACCCATCGGCGACAAATCAGGGGGCGGGAAGACGGCCTCTGCAAGGGTGACAAGGACAAGGCGGGGGGGCAAGCTGAATAGATTCTCATGCGGGGTCCTACCGTCGGTATGATTTCAACGGAAGTGACCCTCGAGGGGCTCGAACCCTGTCTTTTACAGGGGAAGGTCTTGGGCCTAAGACTGCGCCCCTGGCCCCGGGTTCACCACAGCAACGGCTCCCGCCTGAAGTTTCTTCACCCCATATTCAACATCGCGCTATCCCGGTGGACGTCCTGACAATTCATTCCGAAATCGTGATCTCGCGCGGGACCTCCTCTCAATATATATATATATGTATATATATATACATATATATATATGGAATCGCCGCGCCGCCGTCGCAGACACTTCCTCGCGAGCCATGCAGGGCTGACGCTTCCGCGCCCCGCCCGCTCGACCCCACAGTCTGGGCTCGCCCTGCCCCGCCCGACCCGCCCGTCGTGTCCTGCCACTCGTTGTCATCATCGTGGCCCCCTCCTGCTAATATCTCTCGTGTTCAGTACCTCTCCCTCCCTCGTTGTCCCTTCTCTCCTCCCTTCCCCTGCTTCGGGGGCTGTGCAGTTCACACGTAGCAGGTAAGGAAAATGTACCCCCAAGGGGGGATGATCTAAAACCGAAGGTTTGGGATAGACGCGATGCGTGACACGCGAGCAGATAAGAACGAAGAGTCTTCACATGATTGACGTTGTCGTCGTCGTCGTCATCGCCGTCGTCGTCGTTGTCGTCCCGCCCGCTGCACACGCGCGACACACCCCGCGACCAACTCCGCGACCCACCCCGCGACCCACAATCGACGCCGACCCACCCCGCGACCCACCCCGCGCCCGGGCTCATATCCGCTATCGCCTGGTGCTACGTATTTCACTCCGACGGGCGAGCTCAACCCGAAACATACACACACACATGCGCACTGCCCCTGGTCCCAGAAGTAGAGCCCTCGAGGCACAAGCGCTGGAACATCAGCCTGCACCGTGCACATATTGAAGCAAGCCCATGGCGACAGCTCCCCCTCGAGCAGACATCGGGACAAGAGCTGGGGCCTGTGAACTGCTTCTCGCGCCATGCGAACACGTCAAGGCGCACATCAACGCCGAAGAAGACCAGCATCCAAACGGGATCAAGAACGAGGTGGGGCACAACAGATTGCTGCAGGCAATGCTGGGTCCTGCTTGAGGCAGGCCCGCACAACGATTCAGGTGAGACGTTCTCCGTGGAGGGAGCCTGCCTTCGCTGCTGGGCTGGTGCCCCACATCCCGCGATGGCAACCCTCGTTCGACCAGGTGCACCTCCCTCTCCGAGCCACGTAGAGGCAAGCTTCTGCGAAGCCGATCCGCTCACTGCACCACTTTAACATTCCTGACCCGCCAGCAAGCCAATCATGCGAGGAGGGGGGTTGTCCAGATCCACCGCCTGAGAACCAACGTCCTGGGGACACAGCGGGCGGCGTGAAGCTCCCTGGCTTGGGAGCAGGGGCTCCACAGCGCCACGCCGTCCAAGGCGGGAGGGCGCAGGCGAGGCTTAGCAGCTCGAGAGAAGATGAGAAGGAGGAAGAGGACGAGGAGGAGGAAGGGAGAAGGGGGATTGGTTTGGTGTATTCCTTCTCCTCCCCTCAACTGACGGCTACGTTACTCAGAGTCCATCTGGGCTGCTCTACGTTTCTTTGACTTTTCGCACGTCCAATGTTGCGCGTGCTGTCAACTTGATTTGTGCTGCGCGTCACCAAATCGGAACTCATTTCTAGCCACCAGAGGAACGCAACAGCCGTGATGCCCAAGTTCGTCGAACGTAAGAAGAGGAGAGAGGGGAGAAGGGAGCTGAAAAATGGCTTGTGAGCACGCACTGACCCACTGGTGTAGCTGCAGCCGACGCAAGTTCAGCAGGTTGCCTCCTGTCTTCTTCAAACGAGAGGGCATGGGCAGTGCCCTTATATGCGCCCTAGACTTGCCGATCTGGACATCTCGTAGAAGTATATAAGCTAGTAGATCGATTCAAGTGGCCGCTGGGCCGCGAAAACACAATTCGACTGCTATACAGGAAGGAAGCGCGTAGTTGTGATTTGACTGGGCCCCATAAACTTAGTAGTGATTCCAGCTGTTCAGTGACAACGTAGCCTTATATGCAGTTATAGCTGTAAAGCTAACACGTCGTTACGTACAACACGCATGAGCGATGCGCTGCCTACCTCCTTTAAAATGGATGTTCAGATCGGTTACCCTAGACGCGGCCTGATCAAGAGACCCGTGTCGGACTCGCTGTGCCAGAAGAGCGAGCGCGTTCAAAATGCCTCAATAATCCTAAAGCACACAGGCTGACAGCCGGCCAAGAGGTGCGCAATGCGATTCAACCAACATTCTAATTGAACGCACGGAAGCAAGAAGTCATGGAAATGGTACGTTCCACGATTTCCATGCGTTTTATTTTTCCGCGCGGACTTCAGACGAAGGCCGCTGGATACGCTGGAATTCCTGGAACGTGTCCTAAGCAAATCGCTTCATGACATTATTCTCACTATGTGAAACTGCCGACTGACAGAGAGCTCTAGCCTCTAGCGGGTCACCCGGCACAGGATAGGGAGGTTGAGGTGTTTAGTTTGTACAACCCTGCGATCGGAAAACTGGGCTTGTGGGTGCAAACTCGTGTCGTTTGCGGGCTGCCGTTTGCTTGATGCCGTGTGCTCGGTGGTTTTGTGTTCGTATGGCCCACAGCATCAAACAATGAAGTAGGTTCCACACCAACTCCTCCCCCTCGTCCTCCGCTTGCCTCGCTTCGTACCATCCACCTCCCCTTTTATTATCCTCCTCGCACTCCTGCTCCTAATTCTGGTCCTCCGTATACCCCTTCACCTCATATTCATTATCCTCCTCCTTCTCCTCCTCGTGCCCTCATCCATCTCCTCTTACTCCCCCCCTTCTCCTACTCATCATTCTCATCACCCTCCTCATCATCATCATCCGCCACCGTGCCTTGTGCACGCTGGGGCATGTAGAATGTTCCTCTGATGCATTATGGGGCCATCTTCAGTGGTTTCGCCTCTTCGGGCGGTATCAACCTGGTAAATGTCGCCATGTTTGTGACAAGGGGCGCGGCCTTCGATACCTTTGGGACATGTTGGATGTGGCGGGGCGCGGCCTTACCCAGACCAAACCGAAAACCTAGCCTCCCTGGGCGGTGCCATCTGCGCAAATGTCCCCACTTTCATGATTTGCAGACAAACCCGGAGGGGGGGGGGAGGCAGAATGTAGGCTTACCCAAACCCAAACAAAGCCTCCCCTTCCTCGGCGATGCGCGTTGCTCAACCGCCCAAACGAGGCCTCGCCCCCATGGGTGGTGCCTATGGCGCAAGTGTCCCAACTTTCATGAACTCCTTGGGGGGTCCGCTGCAGTGCGGCCCTACTCAGACCCTGCGCACCTGTGTTTACATGAGCACCTCCTCCTCGCCCGCCCCCCGCCACCCTGCGCCCGTGCCTGCAAGGCCCGACCACGCCCGAAGGGGTCATAACTAACGCCAGATCCAAGAACGCTGACGATATGGACGGGCTCTGGCTGCACGTGTACATCATGATGTGGCCTCATGGGAAGCTCCACCGAAGGCTCAAGTGGCAGGGCTCGCATGACGTCGCCTCGCTCATTGCAGTGCATCTCTCAAACGCTTGGTGACCCCGGAGGGAGCCCCACCGGAGGCCTCAATGGCAGAAGGCGCATGACGTTCCGCGGGGTCCGCATTCCGTCCCTCCACTCATTTTGGGACACTCCTCCCACGCTCCGTGTCCCCATCTGAGCTCCGCCGACGGCCGCCGCTGCAGGGTTCGGATGCTGTCGCGCCACGGTCGGCACACCCCTCACACGCCTCCATAGGGAGTTCCACAGGAGGCCCCAATGGCGTTGTTCGGATGCTGTCGCGCGAATTTCGCCACACCCCTCACAAGCATCGCGGCCCCATAAAGAGCTCCACCCAGCGAAGGTAATCGCATGCCACCGCTCCCATTACGGCACACACACCTCACACGCATCGTGGCCCCATGTGTAGCTCAATCAAAGGCCTCAATGCGGGTAACCACCTGCTACCGCGCCCAGTTCAGCACACACCCCTCACACGTTTCGTGGCTGCATGAGGAAGGGGAGAAGGAGGGGAAAGAGAAGAGGAGGGACGAGCAGGAACAACACGAGGAAGACGACGAGGACGAGGATAGGCAAGGATCTCGGAGAATACGAAGGAGGAGGAGGAGGAGGAGGAGGAGGCGAACGGGGAGGAGGATCTGCCCATGGCCATCTTAAAGCTATCTAAGAATACTTGGAATCCATACTGGGCTGTGTTCAAATCCTGTGCTCATCGCACGTAGTAACCAGAGCCGGAAGTCGCCAATCGGATATGGACGTAGTACGCGGTCGTCCTTTGGACCAACCGATTCCTAAACTTTCTGAGCGAATCATTAACATCATCAGCATCAACAACATCATCATCATCATCAGCAGCATCATCACCACCATCATCAGCAACAGCAGCATCAGCATCCTCACCAACATCAACTTCACAATCTCAACATTAGCATCCGCATTATAACCACCGTCATCACCATCAGCATCAGCATCAGCATCAGAATCAGCATCAGCATCAGCATCATCATCATCATCATCATCATCATCATCATCACTGCCATCATCATATCCATCGCCATCGCAAAAAATCACCGTCATAACCAGTATCACCACCATCATAATCACCATCACCACCACTATCATCAGCATCGCCAACATCACCATCATCCATCGAACGATTAGGGCTTCGCGGCTGTCCTTCGGACCCGCAGGAACACAACCCGCAGGAGCACAGCGTTTGAATTCGTTGTGCACGCCTTTGTCTTGCCTTTTCCACCCAACGGCCAGTTTAACACACTTTTCACGCATATCGTGCCCCAGAGGGAGGTCCACTTAAGGTCCCAGTGGAAGTGCCCCATGGGAGCTCCACCACATGCAAAAGCACCATCAAGGTGACCAGAGAACGCGTCATCGACTTGGAAGCAACGGTTGCCCGTCTGACCCGCAGGAAAACCATCCGACTGATAGCCGATGTGTTAGTTTGCTATGCGCCCTTTCTGTTTTCACTTTCTCGCCCCACGCCCACTTCGACACGCCCCTCACGCGGATCGTGCCCCACAGAAGCTGCACCTGCGGCTCCAGCGGGGGTGCTCGCATGGGTGAGGTGGAGCGCGGCGCGAAGGGGGCCTACCTCGATTAGGCAGCTATTGCAGCTATCGCCACCGCCCGCGCCATCTACACGGCCACGTTTTTGTCCAAGCGGTTGTCCTCCGGACCCAGCCGAAACACCAACCGGGTGACTGGGAGAGCGGTGCAGTGATCTCGGCCCAGCAGTTGCCCTGCGGACCCGCAGGAACACCATCAGAGCTCCTACCGATGTGCAACGTTGCTGTGCGCCCTTTGTCGCGGTTTCCTTTTGCTTTTTTGTTGGTCTGGGCTGCACTTGTTTGAGAAAGGGCGCCGCTATCGCAAATCTTCAAAGCTAAGTTTCCCGTGTGGTCAAAAGGATGGCTAACCTGCGCTCCCACGCGTCTCGTCATGTCATCGGCTGTTTGCAAGTGGTTGCGGGAGCGTCACTATCACCAAAATTCAAAAAGTTTTCGTTGGGCCGGTCGAGCCCAAGACCCACTCGACCGAGAGCACTACTTCATTACCCACCGGTCGGAAGAAGTAGGTAAAAACATAAAGTAGGAAGGAGGATGAAGTAGATTGGGCTCAGGCCCTCCCAGGTAGCAACAATACACTGCAAGAGCATATCGGCTCTTGAAGTAGGAAGGCATTTGTGATTGGGATCAGGGAATACATAAACACCTACTTACAACGACCACCGTGTACTTAAATACAACATCGATCCTTCGACTGTCGTCTGCGTTTCGGAAAGCTTGACCATCGTACTTGTGCGCAAGCAAGACACACTACCGCTTGGTCAGCGCTGCTCCGTTAAGCCGCGTCCTGCTTGTATCCACTTTTGTGCCGTCCTCTCCCCTCGCAGCCCTTTTGCGTCCACCGTTGCCTCTCGCTCCCCTCGCAGCCCTTTTGCAGCCAGGCTTGCCCGCTTTCTGCGCTCGCCGCCCGTTTGTGCTCACTTGTTCCTGTGGACTACAGCTGGCATTGTGTTTTCGGCTATTGCGTGTGATCTACCCACGAGGCGTTAGCCGACCCGTTTACTGTAGTTTGAGAAGCCTGTTTCGTTCGTGTACTCGGTACAGGATTTTTGGTACCAAGAAACATGAGCCTCCAGCATAGCTTAAATGGTTGCAAATAAACAACGAACGACTAATTAATTCAAGTGGACAGATGCTCGCTTTGTTCCCAAAATTCCTGTGTGTTGGTTCCTACTGCTTGGAATCCGCAGCGCCGCGCGTCGCCTTCCTCGTCCTCCTCGTCCTCCTCCCTCCATCCCTCCCTCCCCTTCCTGTTCACTCACTCCTTCCCTCGTTCCATCCCTGCCGCTTCTCCACTGGAGGCCCCAATGGCGGTGTCCGCATACCGCTGGGCAGATTTCGGCACACCCATCACACGCTTCTTGGCCCCATAGGGGGCTCCACCGAAGGCTCCAGGAGCGGCGTTCGCACGCCGCCCTGGCCATTCACTACAGGCACTTCTGATTTCAGTCCGCAGCGCTACCGGTCGCTGACGCCTTCGAATAGCCCTCGGGCCCCGACGCTCGGCACAGCACACACGTGCTGTTTCCCGGCCGATTGATCCAACGGAGCACGTGATATAAGACGGGGCACGCCCAAGGCGGATTAGCAGCGAAAGTATGCCGGTGGGGTCAGAGCGCCAGAAACGTGCCTGGTGCACGTGCAGAAAAGGCGCGCACGACAGTCAAACACGGCACAAACATACGCACACAACGTATGGATCCTCCGACGCGCCACTGGATTCAAACGAAGAGCTCATGGTAACGGGACACGTCTACCACGCATTGCATGCGTGTGAAGCAACGCTGCAAATCCGACCAGAAAGGAGACCGCGCGCGAGCGACTCCGAGGTAGACAGCAGGCGATTCAGGAAACGGAGGCGCGAGCGCAAGCGTAAAGGGTCGCTAGCAGCCGGCCCGACCGAGGATGGGGAGGCTGGGAACGTCTGCGGGGGGCCAATGTCTCCATCAGGGAGTAATTGCGTCGGGGATGCCTGCAACGAGTACCGCCGAGGGGCAACTCGACAACATGAAAGGCCGCACGGGCTAGGGAGGCGGCATCGCTTTCGTGAAAGGGAGTCGGCTGGGCCGTACTATATTGCTAGGCCAATCGGTGCAACTGGACATGCATTGCCACATGTGTACAAAAGGCCTCGCAAGCGGAGGGAATGAACTCGAGAACCAGGCGGGGGGCGATCGAGGAAGAAGGAAGAGGAGGGGGGATGGGCCAGGCAGCCAGGCGGCCGTGCCGCATACCCCCCGAACGGCAGGGGGTGACACAGAAAGGCAAAACCTTGTTAAAACATGCGACAAAAGCAGAAAGCGCAACGGCTGAAGCCGACCAATGCAGGGGCAGCAAAGAATGCGACAGCGGCACACACAAACACAAAAACAAACACATTTTTTTGGCGTCTCGGCCCCGCGCGCAGCGTCGAGGCGTAGAACATCGGAACACACGAACAACACACACACACGCACACACACACACGCACACACAAACACACACACACACACACAAACACACACACATACACACAAACAAACAACAAACACACACACACAAACACACAAACACAGACGCCCACACAAAACCACACACACACACATAAACACTTTCGCAAATACACGCACACGTTTTTTCCGTCGGCGGCGAGGCAGAGTTGGCTGCACCAGCGCTAGAGCTGGACGGGGGCACCGAAATCGAACTGGCCGGCGCGCAAGAGCGGGACGAGGGCAGGGATGGCAGCCGCGGACGGGGGGAGAAGAAAAGGCCACTCAGAGGTGAAGAGTTCTCACCCGAGTGTGTTGGCGCGGCCAACCCCGCCAGCGGGAACCGTGGAAGCTGCCGGGCCGCGGCGTCAAGGCACGGCAAATACGTGTGCAGTCTAGGTTTGAACTGCAACCAGCAAAATGCTGGGCCCGTGGGGGGAACAGGTGGCAAGACCAAGCCCAGGTGCCCGACCACGCGAGCGCCATGGCGGCGCACGAAGGGAAGGGGGGAAGGGGAAGGCGAAGGGGGGAGAGAGGGCGAGGAAGAAGAGCGCCCCGCCTGCAGGGAGATCCCCGCAGGCGGGGCGGCAGCGCTGGCGCCAGCGCCGGCGGGCGGTGGGCAGGCAGCCCGCGCGCTGTGCTGCTGCGGACGTCTGCGCGTTGCCCTGGTCGGCGGGCCAGGGTAGCTGAGGCACGGATGCCCAGCGGGGATGCCTGTAACAAAACTGTAGCCAAGGCCGTGGGCCGCGCGCTGCCGTGGAGGACAGTGCGGGCCAAGACTGGGGGCACCTAATCGGTGCGGAAGCTGTTGGAGTGAGGCGGCTGAGGCCATGGCCGCGCGCTGCCGGGGTGGACAGCATGCGGCCAGGGCGTCAAACTGGTCAAAACTGTGGTCGAGGCCGAGAGGCCGCGCGCTGCCAGGGAGGACAGTGCGGACCAAGACTAGGGGCACCTAATCGGTGCGGAGGCTGTTTGAATGAAGCGGCCGAGGCCGTGAGAGCCGCGTTCTGCCGCGGTGGACAGCGCGCGGCCAGGGCTCTTAATCGATGCGGAAACTGAAACAAAAGGAACAAGTGAAGGGAAAGGTGCCACGCGCCTCCGGGGTGGTTGGCGCGTGGCGTCTAGGTCTGTCGGGCGACTCAGAGGGCGATGAGGGAGCGGCGCAGACTCGGCTGGACGCCTCGCATGGTCCTGGGTGCAATGCGGGCTGGGCGAGGGCGGCGTGGGGGGACCGTTGTCTGCGTCGTGGCCAAGGGTTCTGGGCTGACCCGTGGCGCCATCGTGTCAGGTTCCCGCCTGGAGGGTCTGCCGCCTAGGAGACCAGCTGGGTGCCCTGGTCTGGCCTTGGAGCAGGGGTCTCAAAGGTATGGTAGGCCTGTCGTGTCGGGACGGCGCTGCCTCGACTGGTCGTTGTTGAGCCAAATGGGGTCCGCGCATCTCTCGCCTTTCCCAACCGTGTCGTGACCCTTCCCTTTGCCCTTGCCCTTGTCTCGCTGCTGCTCGTTGCGCCGCAACTGTCCTTCCCAGACGGCTTTCCAGTCCACGTGGACACCCCGTTCCCTGCAGACCCTGCAGATGCCGAGTTTCTCGTTACACAACTGGTTCACCAAGTCCTCGCAGAAAGAATCGTACCCGTCTGGGTGGCAGGTCCCTCTGTCTGGGGCCCGGTTGTCCCTGGCATCGCAGAGAGCGTTCCAGCCTTCGACGAGTGAGGCCCTGCAGTCCTTCTTTAGTCTGCTGACGACCTCTGACCAGGTCTCACGGGCGTTGGACCTGTAAGTCCACGTCCTGTACCACTTGATCATCCGACGGGGCCGGATGTATAGCGAGTCCTGGGGGTCGTCGTGGCGGGTATATCTAGGATTGAGCCGCGGGGATCCGTGCCAATCGGGCGCTTCTGGGTCGGCGCGGCCTGGGCGCGCGGTAGATGAGGAGTTTCCTCCCCCTTGATAGCTGGCCCAGGGGTTGGTGTGTGCCGTCCATGTTTGCGTGCCCCAATGACCCCTTGCTCAGCCGTCCTCGGTGTCTTGCGTGCACGCCCTTCAGCAGGTTCGGCTTCTGTAGTCCGTTCTGCCACTGTGCTACTGGTGCAGTGGTCGCTGCGGCTGGGCGCGCTAGCCTCCGCCTCACCAGTGGCCCTGTCATCGGCGGCCTGTTCGTGTTGTGGAAGCTGGGTGACCGACTGTTGGGCATGCTCTGGGTCGGGACTGCTGGCCGCTGCCTGGGCGTGGTCGTCTGGGTGGGATTCGTTGCTGGAGTTTTTGGTCTCGGCATCGGGTGAGTAGTCAACCTCCGAAACTGCGCGTGGTGGCGACGGTGAGGCCGCGCCGTCTCCTTCGCTAGGGTGGGGTGCGTGGGTTGTGGGGTTGTCGGCCTGGGCCCCCAGCTCTGCGACTGCTGCGCCCCTAGTTGCGCTGCTGGCATCGTCCCGGGAAGGAAGCTGTCGGGGGCGTCTGGCTGGGGCGGAGCTGCGCCGCTCGGCCTGAGGGCCTGTCCTCATTTTCTTGTGAATTGACTTGGCTCTGGGGTACGTGTCGGCGCCAGGCGTGTAATGCTCCAGCAGGGGTGACCTCAGGCTCTGAATCCCCTGCGAGGCGAGGACGCTTGTGAGGTGATGCCGACTGTACCTGTTCGGATCCTTCCCTAGGTCCTGCTATAGCTGGGGATGGTCCGTTTCCAGGTAGGAGGTCCATTGCTCGGCCAAGTAATCCTTTCTGGCGCACGCGGGCAGGGCGAAGAACCTCAAGGCCGTCTAAAGTTGCACGCCTGGCGCAGCGGGCTAACGCTGTACTTCTAGAAACTGGCAAGGGAAAAGACACCCACCCACCCACCCACACCCACACACACACACACAGACACACACGACACACACTCTCACACACGCGACACACACACACACACACACACACACACACTCACACTCACACTCACACACGAACACACACACACACACACACACACGCGCACACACGCACACACGCACACACACACACACACACACACACGCGCGCACACCCACACCTCATGCCTCACACGCTTCGTAACCCAAAAAGGAGCTCCACCGACGGCTGCCGTGGCGGGGCTCGCATACTGTCGCGCCCATTTCGGCACACCCTTCACACGCTGCGTGGCTCCATGGCCCACTGGCGGTGTTCGCACGCTGCCGCGCCAATGTAGCACATCCCTCACACGCTTCGTGGCCCCATAGAAGCCATTTTCGTCATTTTGCGTACATGTTTGTTGGTTCTCCCTTGCTGCCCTTTTGCGTCAACTTTCCAACGTCTTCCCTCGCCACCATTTCGTAGCAAATTGTCATTCCTTTCCTGCCATAGTCGTGCCAATATAATGAACCATTTGTTTGCTGTTCTCGCATGCCCGGTCCGCCAACACTCTCCACTTGCCCCGCTCTTATCGCATTCTAACTATTCCCGCTGGCCACCAGGCGAGGATCACTATCGTCGTTGCGTGCAATGGATTTAGGCTTAGCGCATCGCATAATCGTTGTTTTCGCTCTACACTCGGCAGCTGAGAGGACCACTGCTGAAACCAACTAACATGCTGGCGTGCGAGCATTGCCATTGTGAAGCTACGTGTCACGACGTTGGCAATGCGAGATGGAACACGTTGAATCGAAACAGAGGAGACGCGCGTGAGTGGTGTAAGCGCACGTGCGTGATTCAGTATATGTTGCGAAGTACCAGAATTATAGTTGAGCAGTCGCCCCCCACTTCAAACCTCCTCATCTACCATCTGCCACAGGCCTGTCCATGAGGCATTCCCGCACGACACCACCGCTCCCCCGCTGAGAAGGATACTCGAAGCGACTTTGACCTGGTGTGTTTCGAGATCGTGGGCAACGACGGACTTGCTCTCACCCGGAAAACACGGCAGGCCCACCTTTTACCACCAGAGAAGCAGAAGGAGTACGCAAACAACCCTCGGGATCGACCTGAGCAGAGCACAAACGGCGTCGGCACACCACGCGAGCGCTGTGCGGGCGGCATTGCGCGAGCGTGGCGCCGGCATCCAGCCGCGGCGGCGAGGGCCTCCCAGGACGCCCCAAACAGATGGGAACGAGGCAGGGGCAGCGGTAATGGGGCCTGTTGCTCATGCGATCTGCGCTCTCAAGGAACAGTAAGAGAACATCCAACTGAGACACCATGCTCTGAAGACCATGTTGCGGGGACAGCAAGTGACCACAACCACATCGAGGACGCACCCTAGGGGACGCTTTGCGTATGCCAACAGTCGTCAGAACACCGAAACGTGTCTTTCACTGGTTGTGGTCGGTGTGCGCGTCCTTGGCGGTCAAATCGTCCACAACCACAACCAGGATACTCATGTCAATGTCGAGGTCGATGGGTTCTCCCCCGGGCGGCCCGTCAGAAAAATCCACTTCATTGTGGTTGTGGTCCCTTGCTGTGCCCGGAACCGTACTTTCTAGACGGTCGTGTCTTCTCTTACTGTTGCAGAGCTACGCGCGCGGCCCTGGCCGCCGAGCTGCGCGCCGCGGGCCGCGCGCCTGGGCGCCAGCCGGGAGCGGCGCGCTTCTCTGGCGGAGCGCACATGGAGGGAGCCCACAGAGGACGGACGCGCCCATCCACGTACACGAACACGGCCCCCCAGTCCGCGAGACCAGTCTCGTGACGGGAACGTGCGCGCAATTCGCAAGTTTGAAACCAACGTGGACTCCCGTATGAGTTCGTCCTTCTCTCGCTCCTGGACATGGTGGTGGCGCAGGGAGGGGTGCCTTCCAACAAGGCGGGGTGTTTCATAGAAGGTGGGGCCTTCTGGTAGGGCGACGACATCTATACATATCCACCGTCACTGCCCAGGCCCATCCAGAGCCCAGGAGCGGTGTGCATGCCCCCCTGGCTCAGCCAGGAAAGAATACACACCGCTCCTGGGCCCAGGATCGGCCTGGAGTCCTCTGTGAAGGCTTCTCGGGAGCCGCCCCCCGGCGCTTCCAAGAAGGCCCCGTGCCTTCTCAGAAGCTCCCCCGCCTTCTTGCCAGGCCGCCCCCCCCCCGCGCCGACCTCCTGTGCGCGCCGCCAGCCTCTCCTCTACTGGCCGTGGCGGCAGTCGCTGCTGCAGAGCCTCGAGCAGAAGCTGACGTGGCCCTGGCTGCCAAACTGCGCGGCGCGGGCCGCGCGCCCGGGCGCCAGCCGGGAGCGTCGCGCCTCGCGGCGCTTGAGCCACCGCTGCCAGTCGTCCGACGTCTCCTCGCTCTGGACCTGCACGCGTCGTCCAAAAATGTCTCGGCGGGATGCTTTTGGCCGAGCTTTGCCTCCGGGTGGGCCTCGCTGGGCCCCAGGGCAGTCAACAAGAGACCGGCTCGAGATGAACACTCTGAGATCCGACATCGCGAGAAATCACGACTGGAGCCCTGTAGACCCCGTTTTTCTGGGCCATTCGTCAAGCCGGCTCGATCCGTAGGGCCCTGGGGCCCGAATCTGGGCGAAGGCGCCCGGCTCGAAACAAATGAGACGCCAGGACCTTAAGGAAGAACTCGGCCTCGGGAAAAGGCCAGGACTTACAGTGACCGCGTGTTTCGGCTACACGTAAAAGCGACCCTGGGCAAGAGTGACCTTTGGTGCGCAACTTTCGGGGGCAGCGGGGACGCCAAACTCAACCGAACAAAACGCTGCTAGTGCATCGCGTTCAATCATATGGGAAACCCCATGCGTCGGCGGCGCGAACAAGGGGATAGGGGGAGGGGGGAAGGCTTCTTAGAAGGAGGCTGCTTCTTAGAAGGCGCGGGCCTGACATCTATAGGTAAGGCCCGCGCCTTCTAAGAAGCGGGGGTGCTTCTGAGAAGCCTTCCTCCTCCCCGCACCCTCCTCAGCACGTGGCTGAAAACGCCCGCACCAAAAGTCACTCTGGCGAAAAGTCACTCTCACGTCTAGTCGAATCGCATGTCTGGGGCTGGCCTCGGAGGCCTCGGCGCCGAACGGCGCGAACCAGTCGGCGTTGCTCTCCAGCTTCGGCAGCATCGTCACGGCGTCTTCCTCGTGATTTCGGGCCCTGGGACCATCAAGAATGGGACCATCAAGAATGGATCTGCGATGAAAAACTGAGAACGGGGGATTCTGGGGTGGTGGTTTGGGGGGCCGACGCGCGGCACGATTGACTTCCGAGGCGCGCGTTGCAGCGCGGGTGGGGGTGAGAAGGAGGGCCTGGTAGATCGAGAGAGAGAGAGAGAGAGCGCGGGAGAGAGAGAGAGAGGGAGGGTCGGAGAGAGAGAGAGAGAGAGAGAGAGAGAGAGAGAAAAAAAAAAAAGAGAGAGAGAGAGAGAGACATAGAGAGAGAGAGAGAGAGCCAGAGAGTGAGAGAGAGAGAGACAAAACAAGGCGCGGGAGCGGTGCGGTAGGAGAGGGAGGGAGCGGGAGAGGGAGGAAAGGGCGAGAGACCAGAACGCCCCCTCTACCGCCCGCGGCGCCGCCTGGGGGGGGGGGAAGCAAAACAACAAAAAAAAAAAAAAAAAAAAAAAATCGGCCAGACCCCCTCCCTGGCATTTGTTGTTTTTGTTTCCCCCCCCAAAAGCGCTCGAAGGCCGCCGCTCCGAGGCCGCCGCTGCTGGCTTCGAGGGCCAGCCCCGCCGCCGCCGCTTCCGATGCCCCCGGGTGCCCCTTAGGCGCCCTGATCCTCCTTCCCCCTTTGCCTGCCCCTTGCGTTCTTTTTTCTGTTCGTCCACGGCGGCGCGCTGGCGGCGGCCCTGACAGCGATTGTTTCAGAATGGTGGTTCCTGTGAAAGAACCTCGGTACGATGCCCTGTACATTGTGGTGATGCTCCACTGCTGATGCGATGCCCCAGTGCTACTGGGCGAGGCATTGCTTGGCATTCGTTGGTCATGCTTGGAGTTGCTTGCAAACGAATGCTCCTGCTTGGCCTTGGTTGGTTGTGCTTGGCGTTACTTGGTTGCGTTTGGCATTGACTGGTCGTGGTCGGCTTTACTTCACACTGGCTACTCGTGCTTGGCATGTCTCATCATTGCGCGCTTGCGCGTGGCATTGACTGGTCGACCTTAGCATTGCCTGGCATGGCTTGGTCGCGTGCGCCATTGAACAATCGCGCTTGGCATTGCGTGGCATTGGTTGATCATGCTTGGCGTTGATTGGTCGCGCATGGCATTGAATGGGCATGCTTGGCATCGCTTGGCATTGGTTGGTCATGTTTGGCGGTGCTTGGCTATGTGTGCCCCTGCTCTTGCCATTGCCTGGCACGTGTAGGACATGCTTGGCATTGGATGGTCGTGCTTGGCATTGGTTGGTCGTGCCTGGCGTTGATTGGAATTGTTTGGTGATCCATGGCGCTGCTTGGCATTAGTTTGAGGTTATCAGCATTGGTTGGTCGTGCTTGGCATTGCCTTGACTTGGTGGGTCGTGGTTGGCGGTGCTAGGCAAAGGATTGTCCTGCGCTTGCCACTGCCTAGCATCTTTAGGTGCTGCTTGGCATTGAATAGTCTTTACATGACTAAGGAACCCTGCTTGAATAACCATCACTGGGGAATCCTGGCTGGGGAACCTTCACTCAGAAATCCTTACGAAGGAATGTTCCAAACAAAGAAAAAGCGCATCATGTTGCAAGGGATCTTCTCGAAGTTAGCGAGGCATCTCCATGGGGGAATCCGCATGAGAAATCGTTGATGAGGACTGGCATAAGAGACCCTTCGTCGGGAGTTCTGAGGGAGCCTTAATCAGGAATCGTGATTAAGGATTAAGGGGTCCTTCGTATTGAATATTTACAGAGGAGTTCGTCGTAAGGAAACTTCACGAAGGAATCCGTAGACGGGAAGATTTACTAAGGAGAATGCAATCAGGAATCTGTACGAGAGACTATTTACAAAGCAATCCTTGGTCAAAACGCCTTACAGAAGAATCGTTACTCCGGAAGCATTACCACGGAATCCCTAGCAAGGAAGCTGCACTAAGGGATGCTTATTAAAGAATCGCTATCGCGGAGTATGTATTAAAGCAGCCTGCATCAAGAAACCTGCATCAAGAAACCTGCACTAGATGATACCTGCGAAGGATTGTTTCGCAATAGCGATGTGCTAAGGAATCTGCATTCAGGGATCTGCATTGAGGAATCCGTATGGGGGTTTCCTCACTGAGGACCCATCGCCCACGAATCCTCACCCAGGAATCCTTAGTCTGGTTTCTTTATCGATAAAACTATGCGATGTGATCCTCACTAAGGGGTCCTTTAAAAGGAATATGCATTATGGAAATCCTTGCTCAGGAATCTAGACCAAGGAACCTCCATGTATGAACCCTGAGGACTCCTCGGTGAGGAACGTGCATAGGAGAATCCGCACTGTAAGGAATCCTCACTGAGGAATCCTCATTGAGGAACCCTCATTCGCAAGGAATTCTGCAGTAAGGAACATGTACGAAGGAATCTGTATTAAGGAAAATGTATGAAAGAGTCCTTCATAAGGAATCTGTGTTGAGGAATCCGTGGTAAGGAATGTTGATTAAGGAATCCTTGCGCAAGAATCGTCGGTGAGGAATCATTACCAAGGAATCTACATTCATGAAAGTCGATTAAGGCGTCTTTACTGCGCAATCTTCATCAAGCAACTCTTCCGCAATTTTCGTGATTCATGACTATGTTCGAAAGAGTCTCCATCATGGAATCCTGATTACGGACCGTTTACGGAGGAATTCTTACGAAGAAATGCATCCTGAGGAATATATAAAAGAAAATCCAAGGAGACGGCGGACGCTGCGCGCAGGCCCTGCCGACCCCGACGGAGACGGCGGACGCCGCGCGCAGGCCCCGCCGACCTCTGCACTCCCAACGAGGCTCGAATTGCCATCAGGATGCTGCCAACAATGCGCCAGGCGCCGAGGCGAAAACACCGCGTTTGAAGAACGATGCGCGGCGCCGAGGTGACAGCGCGAAAAGCCGCCGCGGCACGGGCCCCAGACCGCCACCCCAGAAGCCCCAGGGAAGCGGTGGGGACCATCCTGGGACGGCTCGTCCGAAGAGATTGTCCGGCTGCAGACTGTCTTAACAAAGACACTATGACGTATCCTGTACGGGAACGCTGCTCCGTCCCGTCGGGAATGAATTGGTGTATACATGTATGAATATTACCGAAACACCCCGCAGATGCGGATAATAGTAAGTGGGGACGTCGGCAGACTGCGGGACTCCGGAGAAGCCCGCCGCAGGTACCAAAGTTTCGCACATTAAACAACGAGCCCGCCGCAGGCGCCGATTTTTTCGTTAAACCAATGTGGGTGGGTCGCGGGTGGATCGCGGGTGGGTCGCGGGTGGATCGCGGGTTGGTCACGGGTTGGGTCGCGGATGGGTCGCAGGTGGGCCGCGCGTGGGTCGCGGGGTAGGTCGCAGGGGCTGGTCGCGGGTGGGTCACGGGTGGGTCGCGGGTGGGTCGCGGGCGGGTCGCGGGCTGGGTCGTGGGGGGGGGGGACGACGACTACAATAAAGCAACAACCAGCAGAATCCGCGCCGCGGGGTCCCACTTCAGCCACGCACCCAGCGACGCTGAATGACCGTCACACCCACATATACATATACATATACATAGACATATACATATACATATACATATACATATACACATACACATACATATACATATACATATACATATACATATACATATACATTTTCATATACATATACATATACATATACATATACATATACATATACATATACATATACATATACATATACATATACATATATATATAGTTGTGCTCGTGGCTCGACTGCCGCGAACCTAATCCGAGGAGAAACTCCAGACCTAGTTCTATGCACGGGCAGCCGGGAGGCGAATCCTCCTATAGCCGGTCGTCATGTCAGCGGCCGGGATATCCATTTATGCTAGCAGCGTGTGGCCAGGGCTCCTGGCCATGACCATACAACGGTCACCTGCGGAACATCCGCTCCCCCCCCAGGGGTAGGAGAGGGGGCGGGGAAGCGGGGAGCGGGGGGGAGGAACGGCAAGGGAAGGGGAAGGGGGGGAAGGGGATATGGAGGGGGGGGGGGGGGGCAGACCCAAGGCGGCAGTGAGGAAGGGGGCAAGGGCCGCCCAGGCAGGGCGAACCAAATTCGATGTTTGTTCCCGCACTCGGTCGCGCAACACAAGATCCCGTGTGGTCAACCTGCGTAGACCCATCTGTCGCCGAGGCGCAAACCCACCCCATGTGTCCCTGCTGGAGGGGCGGGCGGTGGGGGGGGAAATGTTCACAGTAGAACGTGGGATGGAGTTTCTTCATTCTATGCCACGCCGTGACTCATAGAAGTAGTCTGTGAGAGGTCAACGTGAGATCACATGCTGCGTCTTCGAGCCGCGGCCAGGGTGGCACGACTGAAGTCCGCCAGAAGGTGTCTGCAGTGCGGCCGTACCATTATCCAGTTTTCCGTGGTTTCCCGACGCGTGTGGGACCATAATCACACGGCTGGAGCGCATGTGGGTCGAAAGTGCAGGAGGCGACTGGGTCAGTCGCGGGAGCTGCAATCAGGCGGCAGAGCAGATCAAGCTTGAGTTTTTCTCGTACGTGGCGCTGAAGCGTTCGAGGGCTTTTGTGCGGTCTCCTGCCAGTGAGGGCGTTTTGGGCTTGGCTGTAGATGTACTCGCTCGTATTCGCGCGAAGCTGGGCTTGGGCCATTTGGCCGAAAGTAATCGAGATTCCAAGGGTGCTGCGGAAACACTTCGGCTGAAAACCGTCGGGCCGTTGGATTCGCCCGGGGGTGGGTTGAGTAGTTTCTCACCCGTACAGCAATTTCGATGAGCATGCGGCATGAATGACTTGATTTGTTGTTGCGAGACGGAGTAGTCGCTGCGCAGCCAAAGCGCATCAAATCTCTGCAACGTTTGGTGTCGGTTTCGAATGCGGGCGCTAATCTCCTTTACCTACGTCATTTCTACTGTCCAAGGAACAGCCCACGTTCTTTACCGTCTCCGCGCACGGAACGTGGGCGGGTGCCATCCTGGTACTTGATCCGGCTTGGTTGTCCGATGACCATGAG